TGCTCTTATTTAATGAACAAACTTTGCGGTTATGTTGGCTTTTCGTTAGCCACTTGTCATAATATGATTGCAGTTGTTATTGTTGTTGTTGTTTTAGTTGCTGTCTTCATTCATGGCAGACAAACTTGACAAATGCTTCAATTGAGTCCAAGGAGTGAGCGCAGACAAAAAAAGAGATTAGCACACATATTAATTTAAGCTAAATTTAGCCAACGTAATAAAGAATGGAATTGGCCACAAATCTACATTTCAAATTGGGCAGGGTATGCCCGTAACTGTAAAGGTCAGCCAGCCACAAAAATTTCAATATATTCACTCGGCGAGTGCATTTCACGAGAAACTCGAGCTGTTTGCCATTTGAACTTGGTTCCGTAACTCGGCTTCTCAGCCACTTGATTGGGGCGCAGCTTTTGAGGCTTTGTTAATCCTCTTAGGGCAGTTATGCCAGTTATGCTAGCACTGCATGCAACACTAATTGACATGATTTCGGTTATTGATATGTGTGTACATATGTAGGTATGTATATTGATGTGATTTTTTTTTTAGATTTATCCGTTTTATATTCCGCTATTCAAGCAGACACGCGAGGGATGAGGGGTTTTTGGGTAACATATTCGCCTTTCTTTCACATTCACAGGCTGTTTTATTAAAAACTGTTACATTTTAAATTTCAATACTAGCAATTGTTATACCAGCATTTGATTCATTTTTTTGATATCAAACATTGTTGTATTCCAAATTATTATAGCAGAAATCGTTAAGTCCCAAAGTACCACAGATTTGTATATCAGAAATCGTTATATCAACATCATCAAGAACTGTTATATTGTTATATAACAATATAAAGAATAGTTATTATTATATATATACAGAAATTGTTATATCAAGGACTGTTATATCCACTTTTTTTATATCAAGCACAGTTTCTAAGATCAGATTGTTATATCAGGAACAGTTACTTTATATTCCTTTATCAAAAATGTTTGCCTTCCAAATGATTCTCATTGGATTTTCTTTAACTTCAGTTCAATATTTACTGAAGGGCAATGCTACCCAAAATGTTCCTTAATTTTGGGCCATAAATTATGGCAAGCTAAAAGCTAGCCATTACATGAAGGACATTCCCTTTTAGGAGCGATAAGTAATTGCTTGAATCGATAGTCCGCCGACTGTCTCAGTGCTATTCCAGCCATCTGCACCTCATTCAACACGAGCAACACTCAATTAGGCAGCAGAAGCCATCAAGAATATCGGCCGGGTCCAAGCTGTGATAAAGTCAATGGGGCAGGCTAATCAAAAAATACTTAAGCCAAATGGCACGGCATTAGCGAAAAAGTTGAGAGAAATTGAAAGCGAGGTAATTGTAGGGGTGTGGTGGGGTTTCGCGAATGCTAGGGCGCACCACCCACATAATAAAACGAAGAACACTTTTTGGATTTCCACTTCCCGTTTGCCATTAGCGCAATTCGCACGCAATGAGTCGAGCCACTGTCAATTGGCAAATGCTTATTGGACCATCGCAGCGAATAATATTCCTTTTATTATTATTACATACTATTATGATTTTTATACTAATGGCTGGCACGCTGATGCGACGCAAGTGAAGGTTATGGCATTCAAATTCAAATTCTATTTTCAATCAGACGCGAACAGACTTGAAAGATGCCCCCGGCAGAAGCGACAACCGCAACAACAATATCAACGACAACGACAACAACAACGATAACATATGGCAATCTCACTGGCGACATCGACGATGACTACAACAACAAGTCAAGTCAACTCAATTATACAAACATTAGAAATGCATCAAAAAATAACGAAGGATATTTGAGCACGAAACGAAATCAAATAAAATATGGAAATGGAAATGGAACTGGAAGTGGAAGTGGAACTTGGGGCCTTCATAAAGTACACACCATGATTACTTCACACAATCAACAGCAATCGATAACACTGCACAATCGACAGTGCGAATTAAATTTGCAACTAAAATAGTTACAAACAATTCCTTTATTACTTTGGCTTTATCAATACGCGATGTGTATCTTATCTGCAAAGGGTAGCTAGAGCCAAGTTGTCAGACCTGTTCGTCGTCTGCTTCTTAGATAACTATGAACGATGATGGAACGGTTCAAATGATCAACTGCCGCTAAAGGTAGCTAGTTAGTGAGAATCATTACATCAGTGAGTCATTTTATAAGTCGAGTTCAATTTTACAAAATATTCCAGATTAAAGATTGGTAATATATCGTTAAATATAACAGTAAAGTCATAACTTAAGACTATTTTCAAATATAACAGTTTGTAAGTTTTATCAAATATAACAGTTGATCACCTTAAAAGGTTGTAAATTGCAGTGTATATAACAGTTTGTAAGTCTTAGGATATAATTAAATACAACAGTTTACCGGTTTCAACCAATATAACAGTTTGCAAGTCTTACCAAATATGCCAGTTTGCTAGTTTTATCAAATATAACAGATTGTATGTCTTACCAAATATAACAATTTGCAAGTCTTACCAAATATGACAGTTCGCAGGTTTCGCCAAATATAACAGTTTATAAGGCTCACCAAGTATAACAGACACTCTTTTACCGCTATAAATAGATCTACCACAATGGATAAATATATATACCATAATAAGTGAATTGTTGAATCATCGTTACTAGCGATATTTCTCAACATTTATCTTACTTTTTTATATTCTTATCGAAAAATTACACAATTTATGAATAATTTGCTATTTGGATAATTTAAATTGATCGATGTTCAGAGTTTTATCAAAAGTTCGTTGAAAAGCTCTTGAGTAGACAATCCATAATTTATCAAAATAATTTCAAGTACAAATTTTGAGTATATTCAACTAGAGAAGCTTAAATATTTTCAAAATGTATGTTAGCTAGTGTAAAAGTCATTTGAAGCGATTACTTGGGCACAGACATTATGTCGTTGTGGGTTGCTGTGGGTCTACGTAACCTTCATTGAGTTCTGTGCTCTGTGCGACTGATTAGCTAAATGGTTTTTGGCTTTTATTATATTTTATTTTGGGTATGGCTCAGCAGGAGGTGAAGGGGACATCGTATCACGTGAATGAACTTGTTTGCACACGACAAAAAAAAGAAGCGTATATCGTAGCGTATATATTCAACATATAGAATTGTGCATAAACAAATATAAACAAAAGCAAACAGCGGCAAGCGAATGGCACATTTCATTCGGCGACTGTTTCCGCTTTCATGTCAATGGCAAATTTTTGCACACTCAACGCCAATCAATTTTGAGATAGTTTACGATTATTGTTTTTGGCTGCGAACATTTGGATGGGGGCATGGCCAGAGGCGGGTGCTGTTGAGTAGCTGGGTGTCAGTCGCGTGTCACACACACCCTCACACACTCGCACACACACAAACATAGAGAAGTACAAAAAAAAATCAGCCATGTAAATGTTATGTATTATTATTGGTCCCCCTCATTCGGAGAGTGCATAATATGACAGAATTTATTTGACATTTGCAAATCTGGCGTGTGAAAACAATTGCATACCTTAAACTAAACTATCTGTGTGTGTGTCAGTGTGTGGGTGTTGGGGAAAAAAAGGGGTTTGTATACCGGGAAGCTAGCCGCGAAACATTGGTAATGGGTCTGGCAATGACAATGCACTCGAGTGCACAAATTGTGCAAGAAGTGCGGAAGGCTAGAGCGGCACAACAACAACAAAACCAATAAAGTAAATTGGGGGAATGTATAGCTAAAAACTACTTGAATTATGTTCAAATAGAAAATTCCAAGTGCTAACAGAGCTGGAGCAACAACATTAACATTTAACACTCTACTGAAGACTTAACATTCACAATTTAGCTGTATAAGAGCAACTAACAGAACTATATTTAATTAAGCAGCGAGTTAACAGAGCATTTAACAGTTGTTGATATGTTCTCCTAGCACAGCAGCTTAACAGCAATGGGAACTAGCGTTGTTGAGACGTATAAAATATAGAAATTATGGGAAGAAATCTATAATAGCTTGAGTTGTATAAGTGTGGATAACATTTAACAGCGGCAGCAGCTGACAAACAGAATAGCTTTGCACTTGACAAAATGTTATTTCGATTGAATTCGAAAATGTTCTTTAATAGATATATTTTTTAGATTATGTTAAGCAAGTTGTTTCATTCTGGGAAAAAGCTTGTGTAAATATACACAAATGAGTTGAACAGCGAAAAAAACTTTCAGAAAATGCATTAATTACTTTTTTTGTTGCTATTTTTAGTCAAAAAATGTAAAAAGGAAACTCAAAGTTGAAATGCTCTCACGAGATACATATAGACAAACTTTTATATATTTATATCTATATATATATATATATATATGCATGGAACGGAATGCACTGGAATTGAAACAAGCTACATATTTTACAATTCCTGCCCAGCACAAGGGAATGAAATATGCATTTTGTTTCAATTCTCTTGTGGAATCAGAGAATGTTACCAAACAAAAAGTTTGCATACTTTTTGCCATACAAGGGACATGACAATTGCCGATGCTGTTTTTGTTGCTGTTGTTGCTTTTGTTGTTAGTGCAAGGATTAAGCAGCAGGATTCGTGTGTAATCAGCAGATGTCAATTGTTATCTAGTTTGTAGCGAAGGAAACTGGGAAAGATTGAGACACAACAGGACGAGCAATATGCAGTGAAAGCTATGCTTAAGGAACGCCTTCTGTTCCTTCGAGATGTTCGCTCGAAAGACAAGTCAACTGCGTTTTGTTGTTTAGACTGTCACTGCATATGCATACACACACAGGCACACTCACACACTCTTTTACACAGACAGAGACAACGAGAGAGAGAGAAAGAGAGAGGAGCGAGCGAACGAGCGCTACTTGTGAGAAAGAGCGGATGATTGTGGAATTTAGCTTGCAGGGAGAGAGAGCGAAAGAGAGAGAGAGAGAGAGCGAGCGAGCGATTGTTTATCAATGATCATCATCTTAATAAAATACCAAATTCGGCGACGAAGAAGTCGCGCAATTTCAATCTGGATTTCTTGGGCTCCTCGCGCGGATGATGCACCGTTATCTGATCGCCATCGGCCGATATCATTGTCTCGCTGGGCGGCGATATCGAGTACTGCTGCAGCATGCGGCGCTGCTGATCGGTGAGCTCGTCCAGCGGATCGTTTGCTGCCATTGCTGCTGCTGATGCGGCGGTGGCGCCACTGCAGCTGCTGCTGTTACTGCCGCCCACTAAACAGGCAGCCGAACTGGACGCTGAGACGCCACTGCCACTGCCGCCGCCAGCAGCCGCCAATTGCTGAGCGATGAGCAGCTTCTGTGCATGCTCCTCGGCCTCTTTTTGTTTTTTGAAATCTTTTTTTTTTTTTACACATACATACATTGACATTGATATATAGACGTAGATACATATCGATATATAGATATAGAATAAAGATTAAATATAGCATTAAAAGGAAAGAACAACATAAAAATAGGATAAATCTGCAGGATTCGGAATGAGGGCTGGACGGCTGGAGAAGCGAGCTGTAGAAGAGAAAGAGAGCAAATTGACTGCGCTTTGCTTCTTCTTTATTAATAATCTAAAATTTATAAGCATAGTTTTACATAGAAATTAAATTTTAAACATATCCCAAAAATCTTTTATTGAGTAATTTGAAATCAGAAATGTTACAAGGAAATTTCAACTGTTATAACATTAACATTATCATTTAACATTCCATTTAACAGAGCTAACTGCAAACGTACTTTCTCTGTGGAATATGAAATGTTCTTTTGGCAGATCTCAAATGTTTCATTACAATCGAATTATTGTTCGTTTAACTTCAATTTGCAACGGCGAATGAAAACTTGATGTATTCGACTGACATTTGATATTGATATTGATATGGAAGATTGATGGATTTGGTCAAAATTGCGCTCGCATTTGCACTTTTATCGAACGGAAGTGCACTCGAGACACGGCTGAACCAATTGCCCGGTGAGGCGAGAAAAATCAAATAAAAAATTACAAAATTATAATCAAATGGGTGTGGCAGCCACGATGATGGGCGAACTGAGAAAGGGTGAGTGGGTGCCAGCAACAGCTGCTGCTGCGGCGTGAAAATTTAATTTCAATTTGCAATTTGAAAAATGAAATTTCGGCAACGATGGATAGGGCACAGTCAAATTAATGATAATATATATACGACTATATACATACATATATATGTATATATATATAAATGTAACTTTTTGCTTTGCCCCTGGCAGAGACACAGTCACAGCAGAGTGCATGACCTGGCCCACGGAGTCGACCTTGGCGTAGGGCGTGTCCGCCCACGCAAAAACATCACTCATGAATAATGGTTGCTCTTTATTATTTAATTTGGTTCTTCTTTTGTTTTTGCTCGCTTCTAGTTTTTTTTTTTTTTTTTTTTTTTTTTTATGTGACGGTCATCATTAGCTGAAGGTGGCCACGTCAGTGCCACAGTGCGGAAATGGACAACAATAGCAATGGCAACAGCAATCGCTGAAAATTGTGGCCAAATGCAATTTTACAGACAAGCCAAAGTCGTCAAAATAAACCGATCAGCGTTGCAGCGCCACCTGGTGCACAAAGCGGGCGCACGATAAGCGGCTTAAGCTGAAGGCTACAAATACCTCCTCCTCCTCCTCCTCACCCTCCCCCCTTGTCCCTTTCTCAACGCCAACTAAACACCAATAACTAAACTGTTTACGCGCTTACGAACGCCCCATTGCTGTTAACGTTAATGCTAAATGTTAATAAGAAATGCAGCGAGGCGAATACTTAAACGCAATTAACAGTCCGCTCTTATCAGTGCAGGCAAGAATCGAAATGTTGGCGTATCACGTGATGCAAATGCTTTACTTCAGCTCTTTCATACACATTTAAATGAATATACAGTAGGGAGCAAAAGTGTTTCCATAGTTGACACTTTCAACTTTGTGAGTCGATAATTTCTAAACGAATGAAGCAAATCAAAAAAACTTTTTTTTCCAATAATATGTATTTAATTCTTAACAAATTGCCGTATATAACAAAAACAAAAAATAATCAGTAAAATATTCAAACGAAAAAAACTGAAACAAAACGCATGTGTACAATTTTGCACCTTCAGTGAAAAAAATTTGATATGATTCTAAATCAATATTTTGTCCACAGGCCCTTATTAGCTATTACATTTTTTATTCAGTTTGGCATACTCTCGACCAACTTTTCTATGGTTTCCTTTGGAACTCGGTTCCACTTCAGCTCTACACGCTTCCAAAGATCGTCTAGGTTGGATGGCATTGATTGATATTGCCCGAGCCGTCGCTTCACGATTGACCACAGGTTCTCAATCGGATTGAGTTCGGGACTTTTAGCTGGCCACTCCATCAGCATAAAATCTTAGTTTTGTAACCATTCGCGGACAGTTTTGGCAGTGTGCGTCGGATCCCCATCTTGATGAAAAATGATTTCCTTTACGGGGTATGCACACTTGTCCAGAAAATTGGGTAGACAGGTTTTCAAAATATTTAGATGGTCTTCTTTTAACATTATACCATCAATTTTATGCAATGGTCCAATGTGCCACCAAGTAAAGCATCCCCAAACTTTGACATTGCCTCCTCCATGCTAAACGGTTTGCTTCACATGGTGTGTTTGAAGCTTTTCCCCGGACCTGTGCCAATAGTATTGCGTGCCATTTGATTGAAAACGGTTGAACTTGGATTCATCCGACCAGATAAAACGTTTCCAATCATCTACAGTCCAGTTCTTGTGTTCCCGGGCGAATTTCAATCGACCCTTGACATTCTTCTCGGATAGAGCTGGTTTATTTTGTTTCACACTTGCCACATATCCAACCTTAGCTAGTGCTCTTCTAGCCACCCGCCGACTCACGTCTTTCCCTATGTCCATAGATGCCTTCTTCGGTGTTAGGAACTTATCAGTTCCCATTAGTCTGGCGTCAGAGTCCTTTAAGAGTCGTTTGCGGCCTTTAATAGTGTTTTTGGATGCACCATTGCGTCTTTTCTGGACTTCGGACATCGCTGAATGAAAAATATTAAGCTGATCTGAAGTACTACGAGTCGAATAGCCACTTTCAGTTAGGCTAATAATACTATTTTCGACATCTGACGAACGCTTCTTCATTTTTTCGCGGTACTTTGTAGACTAATTGCTAAAATTAACAAATCTACTTCAAATAATAAGAAACACGTGGATTTCTGGATCATAAAAGTGTAGAATGCATAAATAAAACATATAAGGGTAAAACTGCATGTGTATTGCCTATAAGAGAATTAAAAAATCAAACCAAAGTAAAAATATCGAAAGGTGCAAAATTGTACACATGCGTGTTGTTTCAGTTTTCTTTGTTTGAATATTTTACTGATTATTTTTTGTTTTTGTTATATACGGCAATTTGTTAAGAATTAAATACATATTATTGGAAAAAAAAGTTTTTTTGATTTGCTTCATTCGTTTAGAAATTATCGACTCACAAAGTTGAAAGTGTCAACTATGGAAACACTTTTGCTCCCTACTGTATATGTGTATATATTTATTTATTTCAAACTGATTCACGATCGTCTTATCAGCAAAACGGTTAATTATATCGCTGCCGGGTGACGTCATGTCGCAACGCTTTGCCATGGCCCAAATGGGCATTATATAAGAAGAAGTAGCAGAGGCATGCAATGAAAAATAACGGCGTACTTAACAGCCGCGAATTGACTTTAACGATCATGTTATTAGCAGGCCGCTGTTATGCAAAGAGGCGGCGCTGTTAATTGTTAATGAGCATGTTAAGCATGTTGACAAAAATAAAAAAAATGACAAACAAGCCGCAAAAACAGCACCAGCAATAACAATAACAAAAACAAGAACAAGGTTCGCTGGCTGCATTCGAGAAGCAATGAAAATCAATTAAAATTAATTGATACAAAAGTCAAATTAAAAGGGGGTAGGGGTGTAGGCCGCTTATGGTGCGGCATGTGTTTGTTCTTGTTGTTGTAATTGGGTGCTTGTGCGTCATTTGTTGTTGTTGCTGTTGCAAATTAAACGAACAATGTGGAATAATTAGAAAATGCAATCGCTTTGAGGCGCTCTCCTCTCCACCCTCTCTCTTTCTTTAGCTCGCTCACTCACTCGCTTGCACACACACACACACTCATCCAACCAGCCAGTCAGAATTAGGTTATAAATTAAAAGAATACGGGGAATTGTTGGAAAGAGAATGGGAGATAAACCGCATAATAGGTCTAGAGGTATTTTTCATTACTTACTTTCCAGCAACCGCTGTATGAGGCTGTCCACATTTAAATCAAAATCGCCCATTTTTTTGTTTTTATTTGTATTTTTGTTGTTGTCCTTCTCTAGATGCAGTCAGCAGTGAACTCCAATTGGAAGTGTTCGCCGCTCCACTACAACAGCTCTCGAAAGTAAACGCACACGCACAAAATGTTGTTTGTTGTTTTGATGTTGTTGCTGTGCCGTGTACTTAATTTTTTGTGTGTGCCGCAAAAGGCAATTTCACTTTGTGTAACACTTTTCAGCGCTTTTTGCTCTGTTGCGTTGCGATGCGGCGTTTTACAGTTACAGTTGTTGTTGTGGTTGGTATTGGTGCCGCGGCTGCTGTTGCTGTCGCTGTTGTTTTGCTGTCGAATTTGTTGGCTATTTTTCTGCAAATGGAACAATTGTTGTTGTTGTTGATTTTCTCACTGGATGCAACTGCACTGGCAAAAAAAATAGTGTACGGCAATATAGTGCGAGCACGTTCCTTGTATTGTATTCATTCAAACAAAATTCCACGACACATTCAACTATGAGCGCTTCAGAATATCTGGTGTTACTCCGCTTTAAAAACAAATAAAATAACCAAACATGGCGACAGACTCGCGTGAACTATAAGGTTAGTGTGGCCGCGAAGTCAGTACGCGAAAATGCTTTGCATTTGATATTAAAAAATACCCAAACACTCGATAACGATTGCAGCTAAAATACCATGTTGAAAACTACTTATTTATTTATTTTTAATCAAATGAAGTAAAATTAAAAAATCAAACTATCTATTTTATTGTTTATTTACTGTTTTAACTTTGTGTATTTATTTTATTTTGTTACATTAGGTAAAATAAAATTATCGATAGATAGCAGTCAAGCAGCTGCTAAAGGCGCACGCATTTAAATAATCTACCCAATCGCCAATTTTGTTTAAATATACACAAGAGTTCTAATCTAAAAAATACAACAACAAAATATAAGAACTGTGATATTTAAAATGAATTATTATATCATTTTACTGTTTTAAAATGCCTTAATATATGTAAGGAGGCAAGGCACCTAGCGTACTAATAATTTGCATTCGCTTTCAAATAACATAAGTTCTAATTGTGCATTTTTCTTAATCGTAAATCTATTGAGATTTCAGAAACTACTAGGATTTTTAACTCTTTATGTGAATGTTTATTTGAATTATCGTCGTAAGAATTGAGTTACCGTAGTTCGATAATTCGTTTGCGTTAGCAGCCAACTTTAAGAATCTCGAAATTGCGTCATTCGCGCTCTGTTTACTAACAAACTGCGTTCGGCGCTCAAATAGCAGCTGTTTTGATGATGAATTATTTTCCCAACTATTATTCAATTGAGGACATCTTTGTCACCCAAGAAAAGGTTGAGTGTAAGGTCAACACACGTCTACAGCGGCTGGGTAAAAAATAATAAAAGTATATACTATGTGGCAACGCTATATTACCATTGCATTTGCAGGCTTTCTAGATGCCGGTGCTGAAACGGAGGACCTGGAGCCCGGCCGAACTATCAATCTGCCGCTGTGGTACATCAAGGAGCTGAAAGTGAACAATGCTTACTTTACGATAGCCGTACCGGACATCTACAAGAATGTGCACAAGGCCGTCTGCGAGGCCGAGACAACGCACATTGAACTGGGTCGACTGCATCCCTATTTCTACGAGTTCGGTCGCTATCTAACGCCGTACGATCGTAACCATGTAATAGGACGCATCATATTCGAGACGCTGCGCCAGCGCGTGCGCCATCTGTTAGACATATCGAAAAACGATGGAGACACCAAGCACGAGCATCGACTCGACAACATTGAGAGCAAGCTCCACGAAGCCGGCGTGCGCACCAATACCCTGGTAAGAATCATTCATTATCCCAAGGGATCAGACACTCATCCAATGCTAATTATAGTACATTAACTGGCTGCAAATGAGCGGCAATCACATACGCACCTCGCAGCTAGTCGAGGAGCATCAGAAGAAGCGCAAACGCGCCGACCGCAGCGACGACGAGGGTGACAATGAAACGGACACGCCCACTAGCAAAAAACGTAGCACAATGTAAACAAGATGTAATGATAGAGACATCGAAAAAACACACTTTATTTTATTTGTTTCACTTTAAGCGTATTTGTAAAAGAAATGTATAAACTATTTGGGAAAATCCAAGAAATATAAAAAAAAAACAAAAAAAAAGAATTTCATAAATTCGACATACCGAAAATTGAGTAGCTCGACCGATTTGCCAGATAAGATAATAGTAGCAATTCAAACACTGACAATTCAGTATAATATCTATAAATAATTTGTTTCAATTACAATTTTCAAACTCTGTTTGAGAAGCAGGAGCTCAGATAGTTTCATATTTCATATTTCAATATTTATAAGCACATATAAGAAAAGGAAAGGAATTTCCTTTTAGAAGCAACAACCATATTATTATAATAACATCCATATTTTAGCAACCAATTTTTGTTTTTTTTTTAAGTTATTTATGCAGTTTTCTATGTAAGTTTTCTTTTGTAAATATTTCCCACTGGCTCTCACAGAAAAAGGAGAGAAAACGAAAATCATTTAGTACAATATAGCTTGGTATATAGCTGGGTTAGGATATTGCTATGTATAGATATCTCTTGATATATATATATATGTATACTTTGTTTGCTTGCTTGGTTTTTGTATATACGACTAAATCCTCTCATTTGTTGGAACAATAAGCGCACCTCTCAAGGCAACAGTTTGTCAAGCATTTCTTTGTTTTCGAGTCGTTTTTCAATTGAACTACTTATCTAATACGGAAAACACACACATTCATGTATATATATATATATATATATATATATATGTTTATATACTCTTGTATATGGTTTATATATAGTTAACACATTTGTGCTTGGATTTTGTAAGCTCTGTTGGAATTTGGAATATATATTTTCATATATTCGAAATCGAAACAAAAAATATTTGTGCTCTCGCCATCAAATCGAATTTAATGGGCTGCGACATGTGGAAGATCATATTTCTATGAAGATCTTAAGCATGCATTGTTCAATTATATATTTATATATATAGTATTATAACTTGCAGCTATTTTGATTTTATTTTCTGTTCTGTTTTTTTTGGATTTTCTCTTATCACATTTACTCTCTTACTCCCCCCCTCTCCCTCTCTCTCTCTCTCTCTCTCTCTCTCTCTCGCTCTCCCTCTCTCTTTATATATATTTCTGATGTATATAACATTTATTTATACATATATATATATTAGTTGAATCTGCTTAGGTACGCATGCCTCGGCCAGCCGAGTTGAATATATAATTTCTTTGATTTCATTTACAACATTTCACAAGTTTAATTTAACAGCCAGTTTAACATGCGGTCAAACAATTAACATGACATCTATGCTGACTGAAAGCAGCTGCCAAATGCGACACAAATATAGGAGTTTTATGGTTTATCGAATAGGACTGCCAGTGTTGCCACATCTGCAAACACGCACATTTAACATGCACTTTGACAGGCACCTTACATAGTATATATGGATCGATAGAAGTGCATTACAAGCTTATCGATTAGCAATAGTTTGTTTTTTTTTTGTTCTTCCTTGCAACATTTACATAAATTTTTACTTGATCTTTGTTCTTCTTGCAATTAGGCTTGTTTTTTGCCTTTAAAAGTAAGCAACATAATTTTATTTTGTTTTGTCTTATTTTTAGTTTCATTTTTCAATTTTTTGTTTTGTTTTGTATTGTTTGTTTTTCTTTATGTTTTTCAATTCTCTTGAAAAGTTATCAATTTTTATATAGCTAATCAAGTATCTCTGGCTGGACTCAGGCGGATGTCTGTTATCTGTTGTCTTTGTCTTCGCTCGTCTTACAAAGCACACATGGCTCTGCCCGAAGAGCTCTTCAAATTATGTAGAATTAACTGCTGTGCTTCTTCTTGTCAAATGTGTGTAAGCAAAAGCAAAAGCCACAACAAAGGTCTTGCAAGTCGTCTTTGCAAAAACAAAAAAAAAAGTGTTAAAATACATTAGTTTAACGTATATCGATATAGGTTTTATAGCTATGCAGTTGGGGCGGGCCTTTCTCCTCCGTTCCATCTCGTCAACTTTAACAATTCACCCTAATTTTGCTTGCCATTGCTTGTGGCGGTGGGCGTGTCCGCAGCCGTGGGTGTAGGCGTGGGCGGGGGCGGGGGCGTGGGTGTAGGCGTAGGCGTGGGCGTGGCTATTAGAGCGTTCGCCTGCGACTGAGTGCCAAGAGCTGATGGCTGCCTCCGTCGCTTAGGCAAAAACACCTGTAAAACAAATAAGAAAACACACGGAAGTGAGTGAAAGGCAACATAATCTATCTCGCTCTAAACAAAGCAAGACAGAGAGAGAGAGAGAGCGCGCGAGAGACGTAGAGGCAAGTACTTACCTTAAGTGCACCCATGAGCATTAGATAGAACCAGTAGAGCTGCGGCAAGAACAGTATGGCAATGCTGATGAGGCAGCCACGTGGCAAGCCGCATATGGCCGACCACATGGAGGCAGCATCGATGGCCAGGCTGTAGCGCCACATTACATATGGCCACATGCAGACGCGGCACACAAAGAACGTGGCCAGCATCAAGAGTCCGTTGACAATGTACACACGCGAGTCCTTCAGACCCATTGTGCTCAAAATGCTGCGCAGCGAGACAAACGGCGTCGAGAACTCCATCATGAACATGTAGCTATAGATGCAATGTCCACCGCCGCGTATATACTGCAATCAAGAAGCAGCATTAAGCCATGTTTACAATATACTCGACGCGGCACTCACCGTCACGACGAGCAGTCCGAAGGTTCCAATGAAGACGTGATGTATCATCATAACCGGATGGGTTAGCACGTATTTCAAGAAGTCCCAGCGCCCATCCTTCGGTATCTGGACACAGGCGCCATCATAGTCGCATATCTCATGCGGTGTGCTCGGCGTGCTGCCATTGTTGTTGCCACCGCCGCCTCTGTCGCCACCGCCGACACCGGCCTTATCGTAATACTTTCGGGCATGGCCATTGGTAAAGGGCTGTGATTTGGTCAGACGCAGCAAGTGCAGCTTGTCGGCAATCTTCTGAGTGTGCACCTTGTACATGGACCAAATGTCGTACATGAAATAGGCGGTGCCAAACCAGCCGTATGCCTCCATTAGAAAGTGCGAGGCATACACAAAAGATTTGCTGCACGTTGACTTACAGACGATCAGACCCACCAGAAACGAGAACGATGCCTGTATGGCCGAGACGATTCTGTAAAGCAAAACAAATACAAAATTAGTTAAAATGATTAAAAAACTATGGTAGAGGCATCTAAGAGACATCATCAGTTTAAAACTAAGCGAAGAGTTAGCACTTAAAAAAGCTTAAAATTAACAGACAACTGCTACGCAATGCGCTGAATAGTTTACAGAGCACTGCAACTCGGCTGTTAGCACGGCCAATAACAGAAGTCGAGGGGACGTTTAGTAGGGAAATCTAGATCTAGGGATATTTAGTTTACAGAACACCGCAATTCGACTGTTCGGCCGGTAACAGTAGTCAGAGGGACTTTTAATAGAAAAATTCACATCTAGGGATATTTACTTTACAGAGCACTGCAATTCGACTGTTGGCTCGGCCGTTAACAGAAATCCAAGGGACTTTCAGCAGAGATTTCCCTAAATCTAGCGATATTTTGGGGGTACTAAAAGTAATGAAGTTTTATCCTTTTGTCTAGGCTAGGGAAATTAACGATAGCTTTTGGAAAACAATGAGAATTCATAAAATCATATTTTAAAGAGTAGAATAGTTTTTTTTTTCGTTTTTTCTTTTATCAAATTACCAATACCGTTTTTACAATAAAAAAAAGACGGATCAATATCGTTTACACTAGCTTTGGGCATATCGATGTGATTTACTCCAGTTTGACATGGCTCTCAGCACTTCCGGCCGTAGAAGAGCGTGGGCAGACAGGTCTGGTTTATCTGCTGCTGGCGCAGGCCTACGGGGGTGGGCTCAATGACGATCGGCTCATTCGGCAGCCGTCGTAGGCAGCACCGGCGTCTCGGATAATAGTTCTCGCTAAGCTCTTGAGTGTTGCCCAGCAATTTGTGGGGATAACAAGGGTATTGCTGTCTATCATACCTTGGCTGATTATCCACAGGGGTCGATAGACGGGGCAGCTGGCAGTCGGGTGAAATTGAGGATCTGCTCACAGGGCAGGCGCGGCACTTGCGCTGCATCTGCTTAATCAAATTGGCAACCTTGACTTGTTCATCGACGTCGATGGTGGTGGTGCCGGCACGCTCCCTTGTCTCGTCCGACGTAATATAACGTGGGAGCGAACAATGTGTTTTGAAATCCAAATCGGAGACGAGCGACACGCTCGGTGGCATTGGCCGACTGCAGCTTGTTCTATTGGTCTTCGGATAGTCGCTCAACTTCGACAACAGCTGCGAGTTCGTCGGCAAACGGCTCGTCTCCAAGGCCAGCTCCTCTTCGGTCTTCTGGCGTACCGACAATCGCGCAGGACGGTTGCCTTTATGCCTGAAAGTCAAAGTTTTGCCGATTAGACCAGGCTGCTGACTACTTGCTGTGGTGGGCACCGCAAAGATCGACGGCATCGCCTGCTTAGCACTTGACGCCGCCATATAATGCGATCTATCGAAATGCACAAAGCCGAAGTCATGCGGCACGCTTTCGTACACCGAACTGGCGCGCATTATCGAGGGGCGATTGTTGCCGGAGTGCATGGCGAAAGAGCTGGACGATTTGAAGTTGACGCTAGGCTCTGGGGTAGCCGTAGCTATGGACGATTCCGAGTTCTCGTTTGCAACAAAATTCACATGTCGGACGTCGGTCGCCTGCTTCAGCATGCGTTTCACCGGCCTCGTCGCGGACTTCAAAATGGAGCTCGGCTGTGCCTGATAGGACTTCGGACTACCCTGCTTGATACTGGGCGGAGCATAGTCGATGGTACTCTGTGAGCGGCGCATACTTGGCTCCGGATAGCCAAAAGATTCGCTGAAAGCGGGCAACATGTCGCTGCTGTGTCTATGCGCCGTGTGCACATACTCCACGTCCATGTTATTGTTGTTATCAGCGGACAGCCTCGCCACAGCCCTGCTATCAGGCGTCATATCATTGCGGCTATATCCGAGGAACTCACTGGTCGAGCCTTTGGGCGACCTCCTATGCGCAGTTTCTCTTTCGTAGCGCTCCACTGGCAGAGGGTCTGATCTCTTGACCCGAAGATCGCTGGTGGACGGCTGCCGCACTTGCTCAGAGCTGGAAAACTGCTGGCTCTTCTGCCAGCCGGAGCCGATTTTGGCAGCAGCAGCAGCAGCAGCATCCATGCAGCACTTCGAGCTAACGGGCGTGGCATAACCCTTGAACGTATTCTTTTTGGCTCGCTGCACATAGGAACTGGTTGCGTACGGGCGTAACCCAGGCAATGGAGCTTGGCGTTCGATAAAGCCCAATGTTGTGGGATTATTCAGGACGGCCTTTGGCCTGTGGTCGGTTGGATTCGATTTCGCATCATTGTCCTGGAACTGAACGTCGCAGCCCGAACGCGAGCGACAGCTGACAATATGTCGGCCGTTGTCGTTTACGTTCATGCTATCGTTATTCTTATCGCTATCGATATCGTTATCCGTGCTGTAATCTCTGCCGCTATCGTATCTTTTGCCCCGCCTTGTGGCTGCCTGCACTGAATCATTGTAATTGGCATTTGCCTGCTGAAAGAGCTGTCGCCATTGGCCCCCATCGACCAGCTGCCCCTGATCCAGCTGAGGCTGCCGACGTTGATTAGCTGGATTAGATGGAGGCGGTCGACGTGTGCGCAACGACGAAGGCGTCCGGAAACGCGGACATTTGGCCTTCAGCTTGGGCAGCTTAAGCGACGGATCGCGAAACATTATTTGCCTCTTATTGACCGCTGGCGTGGACGATATCGATATCGAATGGGCATGGCTAGGCGACTGCGAGCTTGTGTTCAGTTTGGGATCGCGTTGCAAGGGGCTCTTCGTATAGCGTGTTATGTTGGCCACACGCTCCGCATTATGATCTACCGTATCCATGGACGTTTCAGTCGATATACCGCGCTTCAGATCCATCACGATCTGTGCTCGTCTCGCAATGCTATTCGCACTAGGTCCGTTTGTCCGAGGCTCATGCTCCTGCTGCGACTCTCCACCTTTGTTCTGGTGTTGGTCAAGTGCCTTGCTGTTCGCGTTGTTCGCATTGCAGAGCCTCGTCCTGTGGGCCGCATAACTCGAGTGCTGTCCGTGCACCTTCTCACTGTTACCGGAAATAACGCTTTGGAATATCTGACTATCACTTCCATCAGCTGGCTGTGAGTTTTGCCTCCGGCTGTGATCTATGCCTCGCTTGGGGTCTGCCGCTTTAATCTTGGATACCTGGCTCTCGCAGGACATGTACTTATCCTTGTGCGAGATGCTGTCCTCCGAATAGGTCGAAAGCCAAGCAGAGCTCGGTTCATGCAAGCTCGCCACATGCTTCTCAGTTGGCTCATTCTTGGGATAGAGCGGCGGGGCTGACTGAAACTGCATGCCAGTTCGGTTAGTTGGCTTCTGGCTCTTCCTTGGCCCGGGACTTGAACTACGACTTCTCACTGAACTTGCCTCCAGCCCCTGCCCCTTGCTGACGCGCGTGTGTTGACGCTGCATCAGACTCGCCGGTTGCCTGCCATGGACGCGTTGCTTCTCCGCAAAGGTAACCGAGCAGCGCTTGTGCTCTGCCAGCTTATGTCGTTTGCGTGCCACGAGATGCTTCAATTGCGAGTAGTCTGTCTTGGGCGCATAGTTGGCGTGCGCCGCTTGGCTGGTCGAGGGCTTTTCATCTGTCCTCGGCGCCGTCCTTATGGGCATGTTGCCTGCAGCTTCTTCCAGCTGTGTGCTCTTCGGCCGCCACCGTAAGTCTTCGCTGTTGGTTGCCCGGACTGTGTCATCGATGCCTGTTGTCGAATCCGAGTACTCTGCCGCTTGGCCTTGCACCATCACGAACTTCTGGCCCTGTGGCAAGTAAGCAGCTGTGGCACTGCTCTTGCCCGCTGGCTTCCATTTAGAGGCCGCGTTGCTGAATTGTCCTAGGGGCTTGCGCGTCAAGTAGTTGCACTTGTTCTGCAATACCGAACAGCTGGTCGACGAGTGCCACATGGTGCCCTGGCTGCAGTTCGCTGCGTCCGCTTGATGGCGATGTGTCTGGTGCCAGTTGCTGGGCTTCGAGCTGCACGAGAAGAACGAGGTGTGCTTCTCTTTGTTAACCTGTTCCATCCAGCGCGGCGGCTTTCGCGCCTCCTTCGACGACCTCGGCTTTTTCGTTGTGGCCAGACTGTCATACGCGACTGGCTGGCGATTGATGGTGCTGAGACTGTACAGCAGGTAGCGTCCCGGCATTATGGCTCGCTTGCAAAGACCCGCCACGCTGCCGAGTATGCCCTTTCGCTTCACCTTGATCTCTGAATCCTCGTCTAGGCAGCCGTCCGAAGGCTCCTTGGCGAACTTGTTTTTGAAGAACCAGTGCTTGGAAAAGCCACGCTGTCCACGCGGCAACTGGGCCCTGGCCACAGGTAGAGCTGCCGCCTGACCCGGAAGCAGCGAGCGAGCTGACACGATCTCTGCGCTCGATTTATCCGCGATCGCAACGTGCACGCCCAACGCTTCCACAACAGCGTCGCCAGACTCGAGCGTGTTGCCGTCTTTACAATGTCCTTGCATTTGATCCGTCTTAGTTGGCTGGCTCCTATGCGGGCAGGTGCTCGTGGTGTAGCCCATGCAGGCCACTTGCAGAGCCAGTTGTTCGGTCTGTTGCTGTTGCTGCTTCTTGTCGCAGCTCTCGTCACAATCGAACTGCTGGCACTTCGCAGTGGTGCACACCACACCGGGGCAGTCGTAGACGTTGCATTCGCTGTCCACGCACGTCTTTATGGCGCTGAAGCTGTCCGACTGCGGGAAGGGGGTCGCGAGCTCTTGCTTCGAATCTGAGGACTCTGACTCATCGCTTATGGCTCGCTCTCTCTTCGCTGGCTGCCGGGCGCAAGTGCCCAGCCCTTGATCGCCCAGGCACTGTTGATCGCACGCGTCCACCGCGGGCTGTTCGCAGCTGCAGCAGGGCGTGGTGTTGCACCAGCAGCGCAAGGGCAGGCCGTAGAGCGGATATCGCTTGCTCATACCATCCTCGTAGCTCTTGAGCAGGCCGTAGAACTCCGGCGAGATGCGGCGAAAGCACGCCGGATTCAGTCGCCGCTGCGGCACCTCGCGCAAACTATACTTCTTGCGTAGGCGTGGCAGCGGCGACTTAACGCGGCGTAGCGCTGCGCCGCATTCCTCGGCCATGGGCTGGCCATCCGCCTGGTAGACGCAGGCGCACGACTTGTGGCGCCTCGCACGCAGGCAGCAGCACGTGCGTTGCGGATACAAGCGGCACACTTTGCCCTGCGACCGGACGGCAAGTCCGCCCGTAAAGCGACTCTCTTCTGAAGACACAGTCGGCAGGCAGTCCACCAGATGCGGCTTGCATACGGTTATCTTGTTGGCCTTGCTCGGCTCTTCGGACTCCTTGGGCCTGGCCGGGTCGCTGCCCAAGGGCTTGTCACTCTTGTTAATGCGCTTGCGCTTCGCATTTACGAACTTGGCCGGGCTGTGGCAGTGGCACGTGAGATCGCCCTGCCGCTTATGCTGGCGCTGACTCTGTTTCAGCTGGCGGCGCCTGCGCAGCTCCTGGCAATAGTCCAAGTACTGAATGCTGTGCTGCAGCTGCGGCTCGTGGCAGCTGCATCTCTTGCAGTCGCATGCGGCGTACGCTTGGGGCGGCGACTCCCCCAGTTGCTTGGCCAGCTTCATTTGCAGCTGCTCCTGCGACGTGACCTTGTCCAGAAAGACCTTCTGCCTGCGAAACCATTCCGTGGCCAAATCGGGCACTAGCAAACGATCCGATTTCCCGTCATGGGTCAGCAGCTGCTCAAACATCCGCTGCCCGGGCGTTCTCCGGCGCTGCGACGACGCCAGACGCTGGGAGTGTTTCTTGCACAGACAAAACGCAAACTGTCGTCTGGCGACACTCGCATCGCCGGGCGGATAGTTTTGCATTTCCTTCGCCACGAAGCGCTCCTGGCAGGTCATCGTGCTGGTTTCTTTGCAGCGATCCCAGTTCCCAATGCTCTCCAGTGTGGACAGTGTCATCTCTTTGTTGTGCTTATCAATAGTAGTTTTATGAGTATTGTTATTGTTGCTGCTGTTGCTGCTATTGTTGTTGGTGCTTTGGCTACTTTGCTCGCGCCAATTGCTTTAGCTGCTGTCCAGGCTAGTGGCAAACGCCAACTGGCTATTGCATAGTAGGGAACCCTCACAGCTGAGGGCGCTCGATGGCTTGGGTTAGCACTCGCTGCCAATTTGGAAATGCCGAAACTTGAATAAAATTCAATTTTGACGTTATCAAACTTCATTCGAAACTTGTTTAAAGTCAAAGTGCTTGAGGGTTTACTAAGCAATGTGGCAATTGGACCACTTACTCAACTCCCGCTGTGTCCCGAGCTGAGTTGTGCCTCTCTCTCTCTTAGTGATGGCATTGCGGCAGCAATGACAGTGCGAAGCGCAGCTTTGTCTGTCGCTCTTGTTCTTCCTTGCATGATTTTACTCGGGTCTTGGGCTACAATTTGCTGGGGTTTATTCAGCAAGGACATACTTTACATGGTGCTAGTGCTCGCTGTCTCTCTCTCTCTCTCTGTCTGTCTCTCTCTTCGAGCCTCTCCAACGCGCTGTTTCTATAACTCACATTTTCTCTCTCTCTCTCTGCTCTCCCTTGTGCGATCTCTTTCTCTATCTCTGCTCTCCCTTGTGCGATCTCTCTCTTCTCTCTCTCCCTCTCTCACGTGCTCTCCCTTGCGCGATCTCTCTTCATCTCCCTCCTTTGTCCGCTACCAGAGATGGCTGTAGCAGAGTAGGATTTGAAGCTAACTTCAAGCACTTGTAGCACAGTCTACTGAAGATTTGAACTTGTTTCGAAAACAATCGGACATTGGGCGCAAATCTTATACGTAATCATGTAGCCTTTTTATTCAATAATTTGGCAAAAAGCAAAAAATTAGATCTTTCGTTCAACAACAAAATATAGAAAATGTGCGCTCCATGCCGTGTTGGCTGTTGTAATTCACATGTTGGCCGCTGTCGACCCCCTTTGGAGAAGTTGCGCCCCGTTGAGAAGTATCGATGGTTCCGGCATTGCACGGCCGATAGTTGCGCCAAGTGCAGAAATAATGTCGAAAACGATTATGGGGACGAGGACGACCTCCAGTGTGATTGCGTTTGCCGGCGCAATCGTCACATTATCGAGGCCCTTAGCTGCCTGTTCAAGTGCTCCGTGCAGTATATGGTATCGCTGCTGTTCAAATTGGCCTATCAGCAACTGCAGCCACTGAAGCGTTTTCCACGCGACCGTGTCTGGAATGTGATGGAGCATGTTAAAGCGCCATACACGGAGCTAAACGATTTGGAGATATACGATAGCATGTACGACCGCTGTGGACTGCCCATCGATCCATTGGACACGGATAACATAATCAAGATAATACGACTGATGTTCCTAACAAAAGTGTTGACCTCCGAACAGCATAAGTATCTGATGCATATGTTACAGCGCCTCAACGAGCACGCCTATTGCCCGGTACATCTGGACTTGCTGCTGCAGACGCTGGAGACTCTCGACTTGAAGAAGCTAGTCTGCGGCATACGTAACCAGGAGGAGCTGACGCGTCGCCTCTACACCAGCCGCCAGTGCAGCTCCATATGCAAGCTGTACCGCAAGGTGACCACCGTTGACAAGCATATGGTTTCGAAGAACCGCAGCAGGCGCCGACACAAATACAAAATGTCTAACAATGAAACGCATGTGGACGATGGGAGCAGTGTCCGACATTCGGCATTGAATCGACAGTTTTGTGAACGGAAGCCGAACGATAATATCGCTGATATCACACCGCCAGCAAACACCATAAGGTCCGTGCCCTTCAATCGTTCCAGCAATGCTGGCACGAGAAATATGCGTAATTCCAGTGTGGTCAACCCATCTAACAAACGGCATTACCCCAGCGCAGAAAAATCACACAATGGATGAATGATTGATAATTTGGCTACACAATCACTTGTTGCTCAGGACAGATCCAGAGAAAGCCGCCTTTTGTTTTCAACATACATACCACTTTTTCTCATTTTGTTGTTGTTAAGGATCGAAAAAGCGCCATAAATGTAAAATTAAAGATGTGTATTTAAGATGTTTACTTGCTCACTTGAGACGTATTCACAAACATAAATAGTCCATATAACTCCGAACTAAAGGTCGTTTTTCAATGCAAAATGAGTTTAACAGCGTCTGTTAAGTAACAGAGGAAATTTACTAACTCCGAGCCAAAGGTAATGTTCACTGCAAGTGTGTGTAGGCTTACAGCGTTTGTTAAGTGGCAGAAAAGGAAATTTACTAACTTCGATCCAAAGGTACTTTTTAATGTAACAGGAGGGAATATTTACTAACTCTGAGCCAAAGGTAGTTTTTAAAATATAGAAATATGTTAGTAGCGTTTTTTAAACAAATGAAGAGGAAATTTAATAAAACGTCCACAATAGAGTAAAGTGCTCTATTACATTTTCACAAAGTGACTTCATAATGTCTCGTTGAACTTGGCATAGAAATAAGGCAGCTTTGACTCTGGTTGAAAACAATTGCATTCTCAGACACTGCTGCCTAAAAGCGTTGATCATTACTTAAGGCATTGACAAATTTTATCTTACTTACTTTTTGGATTTGGCATTACACATCTTATTTTAATGTGAAATGTAACGATATTAACAGCACTGTTAGTTAACAGTAAACGCAAAGTGACAGCATGGAATAGTGGGAAATTATAATTGAGAAATGAACAGTGGGGAAATATGATAGGATCAAGCGAGTGAAATTCAGTTCACTTATCTAATAGGAAACTTAAGTTGATAGAATTTGATCGTTATCCCCCTTTAAAGGAACTTTGTAGAACATTAAGAATTTTCCTAGGCAACTTTAGCTTTTACAATCCATCCCAGTATACTTTGTCTTACATTAACAATGACAAACAATTTGATACTGCTTTTTGGAAATTTGCTAAATTCAAAACTATAAAAAAAAACTCCAGACTAAACAGACAAGAAAATAGCACAAAAAAAACAGATACTCTTTATTCGGATCAAATTTAAAACTAATCAAAAATATTGCAATTTTCTTAAAAAAAAATTATATATATATATTTATATTCCTATATATATACATATATATATATAAAATAATCGTTTGGCATCTAATTGAGGTTCCGTTCGTATAAATTTCGTTTTTAAATTTTTTTATTCAGCTAACAAGCGAATGTCTTTGGAGAGGTCGAAATTCATTGCGGGAGCTCGGGGCGTTGACTCCAACGCTTTCTATGGCTCCATAGCCCTGGGCGCTGGCGAGGGCGGAGGCCTCGGCTACAACTTCGGACTGTTCCCCGGCTCAGCAGCGGTCCGCAGCGCACTCTATGGGGCGACAGTGCGACAGCCGGCAGCGAATCAGCATCCGAAAGGAAAAGCCGTCAAACGACGCACCGCCATCTCCAATGGAACCGCTGAGTCCACCAATCTGGAGAAGTTCGCGCGACGCACAGCCCTAGCGACGAGCAAGGCAATTGTCAGCGTGAACAAGGCTGCGGCGAGCGCCAATAACAAGCGACCGTTCAAATTCGGACAGCAGCCGCAGAATCAGCAGCAAAAGCAGACGCTAAAGCAACCGCAAAAGCAGCAGCAGCAGCAACAGCCGCTAAAACAGTCGCAGGTGGCGCCTAAGAAAGCGAATACCACCATCAGCAATCGCAATCACCAAAATCGCCACACGGCGGGCCAAGCTGACAACAATTTAGCGAATGGCAGAGCAAATGCGGACTCGAGCAACAAGGCAGCAGCGAGAGGGATTAGCAGCAGCAACAGTTTCTGTCGCAAGTACGCGCTACGCGGACGCCGCGGACGCCTGCGCACCGAGGTGCCACAGACGAAATGGTTGCTGCTGCCGCAGAGCAATTTTCGCCAGAGCAGCGAATCCTCGTCAGAGGGGAATACCCGCATCGCAGTCTCCGGCACAAGCGGCGCGGCCATAGCCAGCGTGACCAGGCCCGGCCGACAAGTGCACCAGGCACAGCTGGCGCCGAGCGACGAGCAACTACATTCCAAGCATCTGCGATCGCTGCGGCAACAGCAGAAATTGACAACATCCTCGTCGGATAGCGTTGTCAGCATTCCGGTGGCCGCCATGCCAGCAATGGCCAATGCGAGCTCCAACTACTCCGGCCCTCAGATGACAGATGGCATTGCCAGCAGCAGCAGCAGCAGCAGCAGCAGTAGCAGCAGCGACGGCGACGGCGACGGCTACGACGGCAACTGGCAGAACAGCGAGGACTACGAAGCGCCTCGCTCCTTCAAATGTGACAGCAAGAGCCTCAAGCTAACGTCTACGGTGATCAAAATATTGCCAGAAGCGCGCTCAGCAGCAGGAGCAACAGCAACGAAAACAGCAGCGGCAACGGGAATGGGAACAGAATCAACAACAACAGCGACGACCATGACAGTTGCTACGCCCAATCGCCTACAAAACAAACAACAGCCACAGCAGCAACCACAAGCACAACAACAGCAACAGCAACAGCAACAGCAACAGCAGCAACAACAGCAACTAGCAACGCCAGAGCGTAAGGAGCATTCAAACAGAGCGGCAACAACATCGGCGGCAGCCAGCAAAAAATGTGCGCCGAAAATTGTTCGAGTGGATCAGCACAAGGTGCCCAAGACCATTGAGGATGGCATCGACATAAGCTATCAGTATTTTGTATCGACACCTCTGGTGCGCGGCAAGAAGCCGCTGACCATACGCTATCTATATCGTCCGATGGTGCGACGCTTGAACCAGGTGAACTCGGCGGCTGGAACGCGACACGTGCGTCGCAGTAACAGCAGCAAGAAGGGTGTTAGTGTTAGCGATAGCAAAACAGAGTCGCTGGAGAAACTAGATGAACTGGCGCAGGAGCAGGAGCAGGAACTCCTGACTGTGGACAGCACCGATATTGAGGACGATGACGATGGGGAGCAGCGCAGTAACTATGATTTGCCGCCGCCACTTGTGGTCGATGTCAAGTATTTGCCATTTATAAACCAGCTGAAAAGGCATACGGTATCGAGCCAGCAGAACAGAAAGTACGCGATGCAGCAGCAACAGTTGCTGCTGAGGAACGAGCAGCGTCTGAAGGAGGAACATCAGCAGCAGCTGTCGGAACAGAAAGACGCCGACGAGCAGCAGGAGAATGCTAAGCTGGTGGATATTCTGAATGGGAAACTAATTGAGGAGCAAACAGTGTATGTGCAGCCACGCGAACAGCCGCTCAGTCCACGCCCAGTGCTGATCGACTTTCAGCCAAATGTGACGCGTATCAGCGCTGTTGGCGGCGCCAACATTTGCTACCACGCGCCGATACGCATGTGCGCTGGTGCCGCGGAACAGGCTGATGCAACGGCTACTGAGACAAACGAACCGGCAGCGACGCCACCAGCAGCAGCAGCAGCAGCAGCAACAACAGAAACAGCAGCAACAGTAGCAGCAACAGCAGAAGCGACATCAGACGACGACGAAGATAAACGTCAATATCAAATTCCAGTTGTACCTCAGCCAAAGCATGCTCCTCCGCCTGTGATAGCTGCGATTACCTATGAGGATATTGAGCCTATTAACTACGCTGCCAAAACAGTTACGTTTCAGCTGCACGGCGCCCACAGCCGCAGCCACAGTCACAGCCACAGTAACAACAGAAACAGCAGCAAGAGGGAGCCAAACAGCAGGTGCAGCGGCGGTGGCGTCAGCTACGGCGAGGCCGAAAGCATCGCAACGGAGTCGCGAGCCGGGTTGGGGAAGAAGCGTCGGAAGTGCAAGGCACGTGGCAAGAAAAAGAATCGCAAATAATTGTTGCTAAACACACACACAATCAGCCATATATATTTATATATAAATATATATATATTAATATATATATATACGTATATATATATATATGCATACACACACACATAGACAATGCCATTCCAAATTTTGGAAGCGTGTGCCCCAATTCTATTTTCACAATTCAGTTTCGATAAACCGTTTAATGATTTCATTTGAGGTTCATGATATTGTGTTTAGTGCTAGTTGGAAACCCAACGCCGGCTGGGATGACTTCATTTGCCGCGAATGTGCTCGTTGCTCAAAGGTCAGGGCTAGTTTAAGGGCAAGGCGAGACACAGGCCAGATGGCTGTGTTGTAATTCATATAATATAACAGCCAGCATGCGTCTGTGGGTGTGTGCGCGTAAGATTGTATAACAATGATAGCAGGTAGTAGGACACTGTACAATAGCCGTATGAAAGCACTGCCAACGTAGGTACTTCCAACTGCGTGTATAACAGTGCTCGGCTTTGATTGAATAAGAGATAAGAGCAGTACAGAATCGAGCAGTACAGTGGCTACATTTGAATGACTAATAGATTATTTGAGTATAACACACATTTGTGCATGGGCAAATAGAGTAATACCAATAGCTGTTCCCAAACATCAAAAATGTGTATAACAGTTGGTAGAACATTGCTGGAATATGCGTAACTAGCATATGATAAAGTGAATAACTGCTCCCTAAGCAACAAAATTGTGTATAACAGAATGTATAAGCGTGCAGAATGTTTATATCAGTCTGTATAACAGTGGCTAAATTTCAATAAATAATTAATTCTTGTAAAAGATGATTCCCTAATACAAAAAATTTGTATAACAGAATGTATAAGCGTGCAGAATGTTTATATCAGTCTGTATAACAGTGGCTAAATTTCAATAAATAATTAATACTTGTAAAATATGATTCTCTAACATAAAAAATTTTTATAACAGAAAGTATAAGAATGCAGAATGTGTATATCAGTCTGTATAACAGTGGCTAAATTTCAATAAATAAGTAATACTTGTAAAAGACGATTCCCTACCATAAAAAATGTGTATAACAGAAAGTATAAGCGTGCAGAATGTGTATATCAGTCTGTATAACAGTAGTTAAATTTCAATAATAATTAATACTTGTAAAAGATGATTCCCTAATACAAAAAATTTGTATAACAGAATGTATAAGCGTGCAGAATGTTTATATCAGTCTGTATAACAGTGGCTAAATTTCAATAAATAATTAATTCTTGTAAAAGATGATTCCCTAATACAAAAAATTTGTATAACAGAATGTATAAGCGTGCAGAATGTTTATATCAGTCTGTATAACAGTGGCTAAATTTCAATAAATAATTAATACTTGTAAAATATGATTCTCTAACATAAAAAATTTTTATAACAGAAAGTATAAGAATGCAGAATGTGTATATCAGTCTGTATAACAGTGGCTAAATTTCAATAAATAAGTAATACTTGTAAAAGACGATTCCCTACCATAAAAAATGTGTATAACAGAAAGTATAAGCGTGCAGAATGTGTATATCAGTCTGTATAACAGTAGTTAAATTTCAATAATAATTAATACTTGTAAAAGATGATTCCCTAATACAAAAAATTTGTATAACAGAATGTATAAGCGTGCAGAATGTTTATATCAGTCTGTATAACAGTGGCTAAATTTCAATAAATAATTAATACTTGTAAAATATGATTCTCTAACATAAAAAATTTTTATAACAGAAAGTATAAGAATGCAGAATGTGTATATCAGTCCGTATAACAGTGGCTAAATTTCAATAAATAATTAATACTTGTAAAATATGATTCTCTAACATAAAAAATTTTTATAACAGAAAGTATAAGAATGCAGAATGTGTATATCAGTCTGTATAACAGTGGCTAAATTTCAATAAATAATTAATTCTTGTAAAAGATGATTCCCTAATACAAAAAATTTGTATAACAGAATGTATAAGAGTGCAGAATGAGTATATCAGTCTGTATAACAGTGGCTAAATTTCAATAAATACTTAATATTGTAAAAGATGATTCCCTAACATAAAAATGTGTATAACAGAAAGTAAAAACAAACAGAAGTCAGTCCGTATAACAGTTATTTGATGAAACTATCCAATAAATACCTGTATGACAGCAAATATTTTAAGTACTATGAATGTATATAACAGTCCAGCTGCATAAACGATTGTATAACAGCTAAGTAGTAGGGAAAAGGTTCGACAATAAAATGTTAATCCTGCAGTTCAGTCTGGGCTCTGTTTTTAACTTTATTTAGAATCGATTCAATCTCATGCGACCCACTAATTTGATTTAATTTGAACCCGATCAAATCTCTAGCGGAATTAAGTAGCATTTAATAGAGACAAGCAATTATCTAGCTATTAAGTGGACTACTGTGAAAACTGTTCTAATTGAAGCAATCCAATATAATGATATGAGCGAAACTGGAAAATCCAGTGCTTAATTTGCGTTAATTCAAGTGAATTTGAGGGCTGCCTCAAGATACTTACAATGAGAGCCAATTCCAACTTGCGATTTGGCAATTCTCTTCTTGGCAGATGCACAATCGGTAAAGCCAAGGAGTATATCAAGACTTGACTTTGTGATTTAGAAAGATAGATGGAGATATATATTTAACAGAATAGGTCTCTATAGATGTCTAAAATGTAGTTAATTTTGAGATCTTTCACACATACAGTGACTACATTTTGATCTAAGGGCATCTGCTAGTCGTGTATGCCCTAATAGAACACTTCTACTCGCCTTGACATAAGTTGGGCGGGTTAGGCACGCCCGCCCTGGGCTCGCTTACCTGATTGTCTTTGACACTCCTCTATATATATTAGGCGAATGTTTTGGAGCTCAACTCTCTGTCTTTTTTTTTTTTTTGTCATGCTAACTGTGCATTCAGCCTTGACAGCTGCGTCGCACCCCCAAATGAAAATGGAGCATATCGAAACGAATTGTTGGGCATTTGCTCCAATTATTAAAGTGGGCATTGACCATTGCCCATGTCGAAGTGCTAATGAATTAGGCGCTAAGGTGTCAATATGCTCTGCATCTCGGCATGCGCTCATATGGCCCACGGGCCAAATAGTTCGCATTTAACATTTGCGACAATCAAAGGCAATTGTGCTAAATGCTGTTATCGGTTACTGGGTCGTTCCCTTGGCTTTCCAGTCTGGCCTTGCTGGTGCACACAGCTACACATCTGCATATATCTTTGATGACATATAGGAACAGAGACAACAAATAATAATAATAGTAATAAACTGTTATAACTGTGTCTAATTTAGATTTATGACGAAAGTCAAGGCTGGTCAAGGTGCGAGGTGCGAACTGTGAGCTGCGTGCTGAGAGCAGCGAGCCACGGGCCGCGAGCCTCGAGCCTCTCACAAATTGCCCTCAGTTCCATTCGAGTCGTTAGTCAATAGAACTAAGCACACACACAGCGCGCCCACTAACACACGCGCACAACCGTTTCATTAAGTATACGAGCAGAATGTGCGCCTCAGAATTTCGCATATAATAGTTGGTTCGAGTCTGTTATACATACATCTGTATATATATATACATACATATATATATATTTGAGTGGGCAGACATTTGTTTTAGCAGCCAGGCACAGTGCTCAGCTTATCTGACTACCTAAGCCAACGCACACACACATCTACAAGTGTTATATTTGAGCAGGGGTAAGCCCTTCAGTTGACAGTTATTAAAAGTGACTGCGAAGTGGGCTATATAGCTATTAGTAAAGCTCTATTGATCGATCGATCGATCGCTCGATCGTTTATAAGGTATATACATATTAAAGTCAACACAGACTATATCAATAATTAGGCAGAGTCTTAGAGTAGTATAACTTATTTATGTGCGCAAAGACAAGTATAACAGACACAAGATAGTATGACAATTTCTACATAAAGCTTATCAGGGGATATAATAACTTGTACAAGAAGACTAAACAAGCTTTCGTCCGGCAGTAGAACAGTTTTGTAAACAATATAACAGTTTTGTATCAAGCTGATTTAATCGTAGAGAAAAACAAGTGTTATACAGAAGCATTAGGGGCAGTGCAATGTGCAACAGTAATTGGCAGTGGTCGTATAACAGTTTCTATACCCAAATAATTATGATAAAACTCTTTTGTAGTTTTTGTCGAGTATTAGAACAATTGACAAGCTTTCGACTAGCAGTATAACAGTTTTGTAAGCAGTATAACAGTTATACAGCAAACTCATTTAACCATAGAGAAACACAAGTTTTATACAGAAGCATTAGGGATAGTTAGTTATAACGCTAAATTAAGTTAATGGACCGTGACCGAATGTATAACAATAGATAAAGGTCACTTAAGCAGCTGTCAGCTGTTGATTTTAATTTAGTTTCTTCGCTTTAAGTGCCATGCTGTTATAATTTACAATGTGTAACAGTAATTGGCAGCAGTCGTATAACAGTTTCTATACCCAATCGCTTATTCGCTGCTATCAGCTCAACATTGCGATGCAGTCACATGATACGCCGATTTTATAATACGTTTTATTCGATGCTCCCACCTCCTAATGCACGCCCCGTCCCATCCCCATGACCGACCCCCTCGCCCATACCCATGCATCTGTGACCCTCAAACGTACGCGATGTAATCGCCAGGGGGCAACTCGAGCTTGACTCTAGAGATAGGGAGCCGGAGGTGGGGAGAGAGCGAGAGTGTGACGCCAGCAGTGAGTCCATACAAAATAAACAATTCTACACACAGTTTAATTAACACTCTGAACGGCCGCAGAGCGAGAGCGGCGGGGAGGCTGTGGGCGTGGCCGCGGAACCAGTTTGAATGGACGCGCCAATTGACGATGGCAATGCGAATTCGATGAATTCGATTGTTTCTACTTTGCACATTACATTCCTGGCTGCTGTTTGTTTTCGTTCATTGAAATGTTTATTTGTACTCTGTCTTCTTCTTCTTCAGCGACAATGAACAAGCAACAAACGACAATTAAGCGTGTAACCAGGAAAGCAGTGCGAACCGAACTGCAACTATTATTAGCTTCCAATTGGAAGTGTTCAAGGCACAACTTGACAAATTAAGATGTGGATTCATTTAAACAAAAAATGTATATATATATATACATAAGAGAATAATTCTTATAAATAATAAAGTGAGGCATCAATTCGTGTTGACTTGAATAAAAATAATCGATGCTTCAATTGACAATAAAAACAGAAAAGTCAAATCATAACTCGCTTCTCAGTGCAGAGTTTTTGATGCTGAAAACTTTTACGATTTGTACACAATCTCACAGATATATATATTATTACAATGATATATATTCTGTACAGCTATCATATGATATAGTCTCATATAATCTGAGCTGTTCTAGCTCAAAAATGTTCAATTAGACCAAAAGAGTTTCGTTTTTATAGAGTTAAGGTGTGCTCTAATATCTATATAACGGCATATAGCTATGTATACTATATAAAAATGTTGCTTGATTTGTCAAAAACATATATATATGTTACGCTCTTTGACTCAAGTTAGTTCAATGTTAAAAAGCTCTCTTTGAAGGTCAAGGACTCTTGACTTTTGTTCTCTCTCTCTCTCTGTCTCTCGCCCCCTTCTCGCTGTCTCTATTTAAAATTCTCTCTGACCCTGACCCGTTGTGTTTTCATATGAATGAATTTGCACAGATACAAAAATCAACAACAAAAATAAAAAAAACATTTTTCAATTGTGATTGAGAGCCAGAGTCAAGGACAAATCAATTTGAAGGCTTTGACTTTGACCCTTGTTCCAAGGAGCAAGGCTTAAAGATTTTCAGATAACAACGAAAGTTATATAAAGAACAATATTAAAGAGGATTATTAAAGCACGTTTCAAAGGTATAATGAATGAAAGAATAATGAAAGAAAAGGAAAATATATATCATTTGCAAGCTGCGTTCGTTTTCGGCAGTAAGCACTGTAACTCCGCCTATATATAGAGTCATTTAAATCTACAAATAATGTATTCCCAAGCAACTTGTAATAATCATAAAGTGGATGCGCTCTTCTACTCGAAGTAAATAGAAATCTCACTGCATACATATGTATACATCGAGTATATATATTAGATAATATGGTAACTGTACTTAAGATAACTTGCAGTTATGTATACATATATGGCATAGGTGTCTGTTAGCTGACTTACTTGTTGGTTATTTCGAGGACATCGGATATCATGAGGCGATATTTGTTACGGAATTGCTGTCCCCTCTTTGTCTCCAGCAGATACTTGTTGCAGAAGTCGGTCAGCGAGATGAAGTAGATGAAACCGAGCGAGGTGAGGAAGAGGCCACGCTGGAGCGTGAGCCGATCGGTGGTATTCGGGATTTGCCACAGGCTGCCGCAGGCCAAGCTCATCGAGCCAATTGAGCAGGCCAACGAGAAGTAGCAGCCGCAGCGCAACGGCATCGGAGCTGCGGCTACCTCCACAAATTCATCGGCAGCTGCAGCTGGAACTGGAGCTGGAGTTGGAATTGGAGCTGCAGCTGCAGCTGGAACTGGAGCTGGAGCTGGACCTGCAGCTGGTGCTGGCGCTGGCTCTGGCGCTGAGGCTGCATCCATGCAGCCGCCATTGCTGAGCAGCGGCTGGCACAGGCTGTTGCGACGCTGGTGCATTGTAGCTGCTGCGCTTCCGCTGCTGCTCTGCTTGAGTGGAGTGTTCGAGGAGTAGCTTAGTGTGTGTCTGTCTGCGTGTGTGTGTGTCACAACCTGTTGCCTGGACGGTGGATGCTTTGGCTAATTGATTCGGGATTTCGTTTGCGTCTCGCCTTTAGATGTTACACAATTTCATTTTTGCAGCTGTGATTGAGACAGACAAGAAGAATATGCTAGTCAGGCGCTGATTGACCAACGAATACTCTATATATATTTTTTTTTAATTATGTATAGTGTATTTAGCGTGTAGCGTGTAGCGTGTAGCGTGTAGCGTGTAACGTGCAACGTGCAGTGCAGTGTCTCGTCTGGTCGCGTCTGCTTATCGAGCAACAAAGCGGAACTCATTCCGTATGCTCATTATCAACCAATTATCACTATCAGCTGCGACCCTCGGTTGTTGCTGCCGCTGCTTTTCACATTTTGATGTACAATTTACAAATATATTTGACATTACTCAACATAAGTATATAGATTCTCTACCTCTCTCTCTATCTCTCTCTGACTCACTGCTTTATACAATCTTATCTAGCATTTAGGGTTTATTAGTTTATTGCCACTTGCTGTTTTTTTCTTTGGATTTATCACATTTATCACATGCACGACATTTTTATCAAGAAGAGCGCGCGCATACTGTCAACAATCTGTTAACCTACACTTTTATGCTCTCTCTCAAAGGCTGTTAAGTAACATAGACATTGACTCTCTACAAAGTACAAAATTCAAATGGTAATTGACATTCGCTTTTGTATGCAAATGCAGGCATGCATGCTGTGCGTGTGCATGTGTGCGAGTGAGCGCACAATAAAAACAAAAGTAACGCTCACGCTCACGCTCACTCTCTCGCTCTAGCTCTCTCTCTCTATGTGGCGCATGCATTGCAAGAATGCGATACCAAAGGTATAAAAATGTAGGTCAAGCACTTTGCATTGCCCAAATAAACAATTAGCACACGCACACACAGATATATATGCATATATATATATATATATATATATATATATAGAAATATACAACCGCAATAAATTGCTTGGCCCGCACATTGTTGACCAACAAAATTGACTCAGGTTGCGCGCGCGCACAAACAAAAAATAACAACAATTAAAAGAACAGCAACAATTACAAATTCAAGCGGCTAATTGACTCTGTTTTTTTAAGCAATCAATATACTTTAAGCACTTATTTATAAGTTTTTGTGTCACTTTCGTTCACTCGACAAGACGCCCACATAAACACACATTTACTCTCGCACACACAGACACTGAGATGACGCGCGCGCAGTCAGCAGCAGACGCCGAAGCTGCTGCAGACGCATTTCACACGCACACGCAATGGCCATAGCAAGCATTCATTGATTATGCAATTCAAAGAATCTCCAATTGTCAAAACTAATTGAACTCGTCTATCGCATTATGCACTTGCATTCAAACAACAGCAACAACAAGAAATGCAATAAAAGTGATCTAATCTTGCGCACACTGCTACACACACATTCACACATACCCATACACGGACAAACACACGCGCGTTTTGTGTGTGCTGCATTTGCCGGCAACGGCGTCAGCGGCAAATTCACTTGCAGTTCGTGCTGTAATTTCAAAATTCGTTTCACATACACTGTTCACAGTGACAACATTATTTTATGATTTCAAACATAAACACTTTTATTAGTACGTTCGAAGAATATATGTTGGGAAAAAAATACATAAATTTAGAAAAATACAAACAGCAGCGACGTTAAACTGACCCAGTTAGATTGAACAATAACAGCAGAGTGACAGTTGTCAGCAATGGTATGCATCTGTTATACGGGACAGTGGTCTGTTACGTTTTACAGGCACAATAACAGCGATATATCGCTGCTTGCGATATTTGGCTGAAATATAAACATCGCATCAATCAAACAAAAATTATTGTTATTGGAATTGATTTAAATTCAAATCATTGTTAAAAATAAATAAATTTGAATCAATTTATAAATCATTTTTTTGTTCTTCAAGCCCACGAAACTAGTACTAAAAAATCGATAGTATTCTTAAAATAAACTCAACATAAGCAAAACAAAATAAGTCGTTCTTCCTTCTAAGCATATATTAAATAAATATTAAATCAGTGTTTGAAAATTGTTCAAGCTTAAGTAAGTGTTAATATTACTTATAACCTAATTGTTTGATTTATAAAATATATGAATAGTAGGTATTTTGTTAGGTATCAACATACCAATGTAAATGTAAATTATGTTGCATACAAAAAGAAACTAATACCTAAAAATACTAACTTATATAGCGAACTTAAAAAATACCATATTATTTTCGCTGGATTTCGACGAAAACAATGTGACCAAGCTGCACGAACTTAAAAATGTAAATAGAAGTCCAAGCGGTTTCTTTTGTTTGCCACTAATACTTTATTGTTCAGTGTCTGCGGACGTGTGCGTTTCATCGTGCGGGTTGGACAAGAAAAATGGCGAAAACTGTCGGTCGTGCGTACGCGCAAATCGCAATTTTATTAACTATATTCGGATCAATACAATATGTGAAATCAATATGTAAGTGCAACCAAATCACATTTGAATATTCTCGAAAGCTCAAATATTCAAATACGCATATACTTCGTGTGCACATACGACAGATCATCATCATTAGGCTGCGATTATAGCGATGGTGGTGATGATGATGACGACGTTGTCGAATAAGACAAAACGTAAAGATTGGTCGTGGAGAGTCAGTGGGGGGACATGGGAGAGAGGGAGTCGGAGCGCGCTCTGCTGCCAGTTGGTACTTTTTTGTATGGTGAAATTTTTGCTGCCATGTTTTTTTTTGTTTGTGTCTTTGTTGCTGTTAAAACGAATTTGTATTTTTATTGTAGTTGTTATATTTGCTGCCTGGCAGTAAATGCGTTAATTGACAACAACAAAACATCAAGTGTACGTAGCGCTGTGACTGTGTCTTGCGTGAGTTTGTGTGTGTGTGCGTGTGTGGCTCAGCCGAGTGTGAAAATAGGCAGCATTACTAAGAAGCGAACGTCCTGTCGCCTGCCTGCTTGTCCCTCCCGCTCTACCTTTGATAAACTACCCACATTTGCTTTATTTTTAACATATATTTTTTTCTTTTTTTGTTTTGTGCGCTACGCTTATTTGCTCCATGCTCCACTTAACGTGCAACAATTTCCATAGCCCTAACCTCACGGCCGACCCCTCCGCGTAATTGTAGACAGCGACATCTCATCGTTGCATATCACAATTGAAATTTGTGGCGCATTTTTATCAAGGCGCAAAGAAAAGACGAATGTGTGTGGCTTCTTGTTTTGGTTTACGCTATTACTTTTGTTGTTGCTGCTGTCGCCCAACAATGTCGGCGTCGTAATTTGCAATTGAAATTGAAATAGATCAAAGAACAAAACAGGTGGCAACCTTGCCAGCAGCACTAGCAACAGCAGTAGCAGCTGCTGGCTTAAAGTGCCGTTAGCCGCTTTATACTCTACCTGCTCTCCTTCTCTCTTTCTTTGCCACTCTCTTGAGCGTAAGTTAGTGTTGTGTAATTAGCCAATAATGTAATATAGCTATGCTTGCATACCCTTGCATACGTACAAACATGCATATGTGCATACGTATTTATGTATGTTTACTAGCCGCAGCAGACAGCGTTGCCAGCATTTAATGTCGTCGCAGTTCATTTACTTGTTTCAGCTAACTGCACACGCACTGCTCACATGTATGGGTACGCATACTTATGCACATATTGAAATATATGTGCGTATTTGTTGATACAGTTGCGATTGAGGATTTCTTTGTCTGGCAGCCAACGGTTATTTACCACCCACTTTATCAGTTTCTTGCATTTGCTTTGTTTAAAACTCTGTAATTGTGAGCGATTCTATAATTACTTATTTTTATTTTTGCTGCTACTACTGCTACTGCTGTTGTTGTTATTGCAGTCTTTGTTGTTATTAGAAATCAATTAAGTGCCGCTATTATTGCTATCGCTATCGCTAGCGGCCAGTAGTATCAGCTTGACAGTAAGCAGTCATAGTTAAGCGATCTTTGATTTGAACTGGACTTTACTTTTGTCCCAGAGGACAGTCACCGACTGGCACAGCGGAGGGCGCTTATCATGAGCGCTACTGCAGCAGCCGCTGGTGCGTGTGCTGTTGCTGCGGCGGTTGTTGGTGTTCTTGTTATTGCTGCGCTGATAATCATATGCATGCATATTAGCTTATATCATACATTTGTACATACATACATATATACATATATGTATGTATGTGCATGCATTTAATTTTTGTTTTTCGATGCAAACTGCAGCGAGTATGAGATTTGTCTTGTCATTAATACATGCACACTTGCATACATGCATGCATGCCTTGTACACACATACATATATATATATATTTGCATGTGCATCCATGCATTAACTAATACACATGCATGCGCAGCGTATATACTTGTGCTTGTTTTGCATTGCAGAGATCTGTAGTCGATTGACGTGTTGATGCTAGAGACAGTATCTGTAACGTTAATAGCAGGTATTTAAATTATTTATTTAAAATTCAGAAAGGTGCAATATCGAGCATGTTGACAGAGGAAGCTCAGATATGTATATTGACGGCAGGTGGTTAAGGTGTTGTTACACACACACACCCCTGTTAGTAAATGCCGAGTATGCAGCTTTTCGAATGGAAAGCTCTTCAATATGTACATTTTCCATTTCTCAGCTTACATTTAATCTACTTTCGATCGTAAGGCAATCAAGAATGCGATAAAGCACGAAAACTTGCGAAGCATCCAACTGGGATTGCATGCGCTGTAGCTAATTCCAATTGGAACAAACGTACACATACACAGATATATTTTATATTTCAAATATGTATATATTTTATTGTGTCAGAGACTTTCTTTCATATTCATCTCTATGCATTTGCTCTGCATAATCCCCTAGCCCTGCTAACGGCTGTGTTGACCAAAATAGTTGTGCCCATTGTACGTATCGCCCACACAGTGCAGCGTTTGTATTGAAGCTGCTGTCTCTCTCTCTCTCTCTCTCTATCTCACTCTTATGCCCACACTCATGTATTGGGTGTACAGGAAACAGAGCCGTTGAAGTTAGCACATCATCAGCATAAACATATGCATTGACAAAGCTCACACCTTGCACTTCTAAATGTCTTGCTTGTCCATTCCTCTCTCTCTCTCTCTCTCTCTCTTGTTTTGCTTGTGCTTGTGACCAATGCATTTTGGGCACTCTGGCAACACTTTACTTTACCCGTTTCGTTTTCGTCTGTTTCGCTTTGTTTTGTTTTGTTTGCTTCTATTGATTTAGTCAGCCGTTAAGCATGTCCGGCTAACGGCGCTAAAAGCCCTATAAAGAAATGTAAACTGTACACTTGCAGTTGTTATTGTTCGTTCGCATTAGTCGTCTGTACAATGTCAACAAATACTTCTCTATAGTTAGAAAGCTTGTCTCCAGATAAGAACAAGAATAATCAGCAGTCATACTACGCAGAATGCCTGGCAAATAAATTATCAGTCGCCTATCTCTCTCTGTCAAACCACCTCAGCCGCAAGAAAAAAAAACTTTGCGATAAGCAAATGTGGCTATTGCACATAAGAACGAGAAATAGCATTTTGCAGTCGCATTTACTTACCAAAGCAAAAGAAATTTAAAAATAAAAAAAATTATAATAATAATAAAAACTAGGTCACACGCACAGTCACCATGGATGCGTATAAGGTCGTTAACACAGCTGCGAGTTAAGAAAAAAAAAGAAAGAACGAATGGCAACAATTACTTTCATTTTCCAATCAAATGCTGCGTAAATTTGCGCCAATTATTTAAAATGGCGTAAGAGCAGCACCAACAGCAGCATCGGCAGCAATAACAGCCATTAACATAACAATTAACACTGGGTTCAATCGAATTGAATCAAAGAGAATAGAACATAAGTGTTCGCAGCGGGTGCGAGCGAGTCGGCAACAGCAGGTGTATGAGTCAGTGTGACCGCAGTCAATAATTATGCAAGGCAATGGGAAATGGGAAACAAACGTTGCAATAACGTGCGATGCTAATTTATATGTATGCATATGTACATGTACATGTGCATGTGTGTGTATCTGTCTGCTTTACTCTCTATCTTTTGGTTTGCCTCTCTCTACTTAAGTGCTGTCTCTCTCCCTCTCTCTTTACGTCATTTCTGAGTTACCATGCAAAAAAAATTAATTAGCTAAAACTCGATTTACAAAGGTGTAAGGCAATTGCGTATTGTTGAAATTGTCACTTATGCATGCGGTGCTGGCAACTGATCGCGAATGCTTGCCTTGCGGTAGATCTGCAACGTTGCACTATTTGGTTAAGCACGAAACTGTTGAATACAAAATAACAAAAAAAAGCCTTTTGCCAGCAAATTGTGGAACTCATTCTGCAGACATGACAATGATGTTCCTGTGTGTGTGTGTGCTCCATATATTAAGTGCAGCGTTTACAGACATTAAAATTGTGATATTTTAAATCTAATGCGATCGCAATTCAAATCGACGTCGAATGAAATCGAGTCTGGGTGTGTGTGTGTGTACTTAATACCCATATTACTTAAAGCACGGCGCTGACCGCAAGCTTAAATTGTATTGCAAAGCTGAGCACAAAAACAATAACAACAAAAGCTGTGCCCTTTGATGTGCACTTTGCATGTACATATACATATGTGTGTGTCTGATGTTTTGGTGTATTGGTGCTCACATATAAGAGTACAGTTCGAGTTATATGTATTCTTTAGCCATGCGGCGCCTGGAGAATGTGTGGTGGTTGGTCGACCTAACGAGGGGGCGTAGCGGCGGGCCAGAGTTGTTATCGTTAAAATAACTAAAAAAAACTGTAATGTAATGAAAATAGAAAATCGATATTCAGCGCTTGGCGTCAGGTAACAGTTAATAAGTAATTACAGCGCAAGCAGAAATAGGCGCAAAATGCGGTTACACCCAGTGTTGGAAAACGGAAAAGGGAAAACAAAAAAAGTGAAATTTCTCAATTTATGCAAATGCCGTGATATAAATAAAGCAAACGAGCAGGAGGAGGTGGAGCAAAAACATGCATTTAAATTACGAGTCATTGAGCTGTTACACTTTCAATCAGCGTTGTGTCAAATCGCCCCCTTCTCACCACATCCAGTCAGGGCAAGTAATTATAGCACTGCCCATTGTATTAGCTACACTTTGTTTCGCTCTACTTCGATAAAGTCGCCAAAAGTGAGTGTACCTATTCAGCTAACCTTAACTGTGTGTGCATACAACAGCAAATTAACAAATTTGACATCGCAGCACTTTTGAACCGGTGTCAAACGAGTTCTCGTATGCAAAGCAATAAAACCGAATATGTATTTAACTTGACAAAACATCCAATATACCAAAGCTACAACAGCAACAACAGGAGCCGGTATATATATATATATATATATATATATATATATATATATATATATATATATATATATATATATATATATATATATATATATATATATATATATATAGATATATATATATATATATATATATATATATATATATATATATATATATATATATATATATATATATATATATATATATATATATATATATATAATATGAGAGTATTGCGCTCATCCAATGTTGAATAAAAAATTTCGGCGAATCTGAATCAGATTCAAAACTTACTCTGAAAATATGTTTTTATTTTTTCAATGTCACAACAAAGTTGCTTTAATATATAGCTGTATTGCAATTGATTTTTAAGGGCCTTCTGTATTCCTTCATCTGTTAGGAGGTACTCCGATAGTGTGTTTATTCTTCAGTGTTATCGGTTTATTGTTATAGCCACAATGTAGATATGGAAGTCTCATGATAATTATATCAGAACCGGTTGAATTTCATCTTGACAGCAAAAAAGAGCAGAAAGCACAAATAGGAACGGTGCAGTCGGACACAGCCGAGTGGATAATACTCGTTCACGCTTTCAAATCAGCTAAATCTATTAAAAAAATTGTTGCTTTCCGATTCGAGACGTCTAATTGGCAGGCCATACAATTTGTAGGTCTTCAAATCGAAGGTCAGATACACACCTGCATAACTGTCGGAAGCTGAACAGATATTCTAAATTAAGACTATTTTGCTTATTATTTGTCCTTCCATCGATTGGTTCATTGATTGATGCTACTTCCATTATTTATTGTGATGTTTGGCGAGCAGAAGACTCTTCCATTTAGAATATTGATTCAGCATTGTTAGGGGCTTTTGAAAGTTTATTGATCTAAATATTGTGCTGATATTTTCATGTTCAATTTTCAAATCAAAATCTAAAAAGTACTAAAGTACGACAAGTCTTCCAGGCAGAGGCGCGCTCAGCATTTGTTTGTGAAGACGACAAATTGAAGTTCAATTTATTTATCTCGAAAATAATGTATTTGTGCACGTGCATAGCGAAAAACTTGGCGTCTCTGAGCTAAAAACTGAAGTTCGATAAGCGTTGTATCGATTTTATCGGTGAAATATCGATTATTGTTAACAAACTTGAACTGCACTTGTTATAAAGTGAAGTCTCCAGCTCTTATAGGTTGTCAGACGAGGCTGCATCATGGCTGTTGTTCCTGATCCAGAATATATATGTATACCGTGTGGCACTATCCACGCTTCCTTTAACATTTATAGTTTCCATTTACAATGGGGTTCAAGGGCTCATTTTGAGTGACCAAATTAAAGCGATAGGAAAGGAAATTCAGTAAAATGAGATAGACCAGATGTTATTATTGTACTGTGAGCTACATCCAACTGAGTCATAGCCTTCAGTTCTTTCAAAGTGAACGGGAACGGAGAGGATTTGATATAGACCCATAGGGAGATAGTCGAAAACTGTCAAATAGTGAGTCAACTGAATCGCGGTTCTTTAACACGATTTTAGCATGTTCTTATCAAAATCGATCTTATAAAATATTTCAAGAGCAGAAAGTTATCGGCAATAGTATAACTTTAGTTCGATCACCCTACAGTTCGAAACTGTTATATATAATCTTGAACTGATAATGAATGTTGGAATTTCCGGTTAATGTTTACCTTGATAGTTTTTATGGGATTTTTTCCGTTGCTTTTCAGCATCATTAACTGAAAAAAAATCCCTGGAAATTAATCAGTAAAAATGAGTTCATCTCCTATTTTTGATAAATTAAATACTATTCATGGTTAGTAATATTTGAGGGAATTTTTCGACTTTTTGCAGTTAACTGTTTGAAATTTGCAATTTCAGTGCACTGAAAGTTTATTGGCTTTAGAAAGAGTTTTACGAAACGCACAACGCATTTCTTATCTCATTGCTCAATTAAGTGATAAGAACATATATGGTATATATATGTATATATGGTATACAGATATCTGAACTTATCCAGTCGTCTTTTCTGTCTCTGTCCCTCTCTCTCTTCCGCTTGCAGCACCAGAGTCATACGTTGCCCTCGACACAAAACTCGCATTTATCTACCCAGAGAAGATTGTCAGACTGTCCACGGACCAGTCGGCACGTCAGCGTCGTTTCGTCCCAATTGAGGATGCACAATCCGTTGAGCTGCAACGCCGGCGTCGTAACGCACCAGCGGCAACGGCTGACAGCACGCCAATTCTGGGCTCCACAATGGATGTTAAGAATCAGTATCAGAGCGTGAGTGCCAATGTGAATGCGAGCGGAAGTACCTCGACAACAGATGGCGCCACAGTCACCACTGTGGACAGCAAGACCTCTGCAACTGGCAGCGTTACCTACAATGTGCACAACGTGGGCGTCAATGGCACCGGCCAGCGCAAGGATTTAAGCAGTCAGCAAAACGGCAGCAGCGATGCTGCCAACAGCACCAATGGCACCACCAGCATCAATGTGGCTGCTGTGCAGAGTGCACCGCCAAAGAAAACGCAATTGATGGCTTCGCAGCCAATGCAATATCCCAAGAAGGTGGCCGCCCAATCGGTTCCGGCGACAACAACCACCACAGAGCGTCCACTCATCGATGAGGTCGATGTGTCAGACGAGGTCATCACCAAAGAGGCCAACAAATCACAGCTCACCCGACACGAGGATCACTACGATTACTATCGCAGCCTCTTCTACATAAACGAGACTGAGACTTCTGAAATCTGGACACAATATCGCGGCATACCGGAGAACAGTATGTTGTCCTCGTCGTATCGTCGAGCCATGACTGTCGAACTGAAGTTCGGGTTTCCCTTCTACGGACACAATGTGCGCAATATAACCGTTGCCACCGGCGGCTTTCTCTACACTGGGGAGTACGTCCACTCCTGGCTGGCGGCTACGCAATATATAGCACCTCTAATGGCCAACTTCGATACGAGCATGTCGGATGATTCGTTTGTGCGGCTCCTGGACAATGGTTAGTCTTTGTGTACAATATAGAGTCAGGTTCGGTCTTTTAATCACATTTTCTATTGGTTTCACTAGGCACCGCCTTCACTGTCGTCTGGGAGAATGTCACGCTGCAGGATAAGCCTAACTATGGCAAATTCACGTTCAGTGCCACCTTGCATCAGACTGGAGATATTGTGTTCGTCTACTATCAGCTGCCCACGTCGATCAACACCATACAGGACAATCAGCATCCAGTGAAGGTCGGACTATCCGATGCCTATATCGTGGACAAGATGCTTTTATGTATGTAGTACATAAGTTAAATGATTTAATCCCTAAATAATTCACAACTTGCTTTATCCTAATCAGTCGCTCGCCGCAAGACTATCTATGAATACCATCGCGTAACATTTGGCCAGCAGGAAATTACGAATGGTACAATTGTCGTCCTCACTGCCTTGCCCACATGTCTCGGCTACTCAGACTGTCAGTCGTGCATCAATCACAATACAACATTTGAGGTGAGCTCGCACTACACCTGCTTCAGTGCTGAATTTGAATCTAATTATTTATTTGTCTATTCTCACAGTGCGTTTGGTGCCCCACGCTGAATCGTTGCTCCACAAATACCGGCAACGATCGCAGAAAGCAGAAATGGCAGCAAAGCGGTAAATGTCAGCCTGAATGAGGGCAATGCAATGGAATTGGATCTTTTTAGCGTCAAATGATTGATTTTTTGATTCGTAGTCAACGGGGCAATGTGTACTCACTTGCTTACTATATATGAATGTTGCTCAGAGCCAACTGTTATCAAATGTACTCTCACTAATCAGGGAATGTCCTTAGCGCGACTTGAGTTGATTTGTTGACAACATAATTAACAATATTTTTATTATAAAATGTTTATCAATCATTAGCGTATAGCTATTAAGGTCGATGATATTTGTTAAGCTATCGTTTATCGATATGCCCAGTCGATAACGATAGTTTAATTAACTTGTTTTTGGTCCGATGGAATTTACAATAAACTTAAGCACGATTTTCGTTTGCAGGCTGTGATCGTTCGATGATTAGCAGCAGTGAAGCTTGCCCGGTGCTCGGCCACAAGGGCAACAATGCTGCTCAAGAAAATAAAGAGAACAACAGCAGCGACAACAATAGCAGCAATAACAGCAACAACAGCAGCATACCCAGCGGGTCGTCCGATTCCAATGGGGCCGCAGGCAGCTCAGCAGTAACCGAGCCAACTATGAGCAGCACGCAGCATTCGGCAAGCGGCACGTCAGCGGGCGCAAAAGCGAATCGCGATGGCGTTAATGCCGAAAAGAGCGAGCATCTCGGCGCCGTGCTGCCGGAGAATAAGAATGTAGGCGTTGCCGTTGGCTTTATGGTGCCCATTTGTCTAGTGTTCGCGGTGACACTGTGGCTCTTCTATGCGTACCGAAATCCGCACACAAGGAGCGGACAGCTGCTCATACAGGTGAGTCGATAAATTAGCCAACAACTACGCAATGCAAACTAAGCGATTAATGTATATTTACATGCAGTCCAAGCACTTACATCAGGTTTGTTAATGGTCTAGCACTCGACCTTTGCTCTAACTGAATACTCTGTCTCGCTCGCGCAACTCTGCAATGAGTTTTATTAATCGATGCCTTTCCCTCTCTTTCACACAGTTCCGTCCAAGCCAGTGGTCATGGCGACGTGGTGAGGCGCGCTACACGGCGGCCACGATACACATGTAGTTCAGTTGAGAGATATATAATCGTGCATCTTTTGCGTGTCACTGGGATGTAACGAGTCACAGTCGTGACAAAATATCAGTAGAATCCCTGCCCCTAACTCCAAACGTCCCTCCAGTCCTAGCTTATCAACAATCAACGATCAACAACCAACAACTGCAACTGCAACTGTGACTTGTTATATATGAAATTGAAGTTATATATATGCATATGTACCAACGGGCAGCAACTGATAACTCCCTCTATCTTGCTACATGTAACCGTCACAGTTGTCATCGTTGAATCGCTCATCTCATAGTGAAGAAAGAGAGAAAGAAAGCAAAGCAGAAAAGTGTTTTGCCAGCAGGAATCAGCAAGCGCAACTACTTTCCTTTAGCACAACCAAAATCTGAAGATTTGAAGAGATCGAAAAAAAAGAACAATTACATTAACACGCCTAATATCTATTCTGCCTAGTAAATTTTATAATTGTTGTGAATAGACAGCTTGGCTTTCAAATAGAACTTTACTGAGCTCAAGCAACATGCTCTTCTCATCATCTTCTTGACTAAATAGCGGTAATTTACTTGTCCAGACACCTCCCTGTTTGTTTAGTTCCCACCAAACACCTGTACACACACACGCATACACAGACACGGGGCACAGTGCTTTCAATGTAGTAGTTCAATTGTAAAAAACATTTTATCTGTTTGTTTTTTTTTTAATATAATTTTTTTATTAATATGTACGAATTTTTTGCTTTTTTCGTAGCTCTCAACTTTCTGCTTGTTTTAATTGTAAACCTAAAGTTTAAATGTTAATTGTATTTCCCCCTCTTTTTTGTATTATATGAGTACTTTATATGGATGTATATGAAGCACTTGAATCTATATATATATATACATACACACATATATACATATGCATATATATCAAAATGGATATATCCAAAACGACCTCTTCTTTTTGTTAGTCTATTTTCTATTAATTATTATTATAAATATACATAAATAAATAATAAAAAAAAAACAAGATATGCGGTGTGCAAGTAAAAAAAAGAAACTAAATACATAATTGAATAAGAGAAATATTAAAAACAAGCAACTAAAGATCTATAACAAAACGTAAGAAAAGGCAACTAAGGAAATTGTATAACAATGTATTTTGATAATGAAATTAAATTTGTATTTTAAGCTCTTACTACATATACAACATAATTTAAATAAAAACGAAGAAAAATCAAAACGAATCTATTTTTTTCTCTCTGCATTAGCAAGGAATAACAACATACTGTTAGGCGTAACAGAAATTGAGCTTTCTGCTCGACAAAGAACTGCTTGATTTTTGAAAATAGCAGAATAATGTAAACTTAACATAACCATTTCGAGCTTAACAGCAAGTGCAGCCAGGAACCACATGCAATAAAACACTGTCGTTGCTTTCAATTTTCGTTTATTTTGAACTAATTTTGGTCATTAGCTTAAGTATATGCGTTTGCTAATGTTGTAAATTGTTGAATACTTGTTATGCTGTTACATTTGCTTATACATTTACAAGGTGGATTCAGCTATTTGGACTCTAAGAAAAACCGTTGGATTGGAGGGGTGGGTAACTCCTCATTAACATTTAACAGCTGCAACAACAACAAGCCTCGTTGGTTGGTGGGGTTTTTTTCTCTCTCTTTCTGTCTCTTCTTTTCTTTCGGCTTTCTGTAAAATATTTACAGTTTCTGCTGCGCCAGCTCCTCGATGGTTCGTGCATTGGTGAGCGTCACCCATAGCGGCGACTGAATGCTGGCCAGCGAATAGCTTTCGGCGGCGTCCAGCGACTGCGACTTGCGCATGGTGGCCGCTGTTGAGCTCTTGCTGCTGGTGTCGGCGCCGGCGCCGTGACGACGCTTTGAGTCTCGCTTGCCGACGCCGAACGCGATGCCCGCTTCGCTGGCCTGGCTGCTACTCGCAGCGCGAAGCTCCTGCAGCCGACTGCGACGTTTAGCCAGCGCCGCGGACTCGACCGATTCGCGCACGCTGCCCGCCTTACGCAGCGGCGGCGTCAGCGTCAGCGTCGATGACGTCGAATGCGGCGGCAGCAGCTGCATAGCCATGGCTGCCGTCTGCGGCTGCGCTGGCGGCGATGCCGACGACTTCGGCTGCTGCTGCTGTTGTGCAACTGCTAACTGTTAGCTCGAAGAGAAGGACATCTTATAGGAGGTGGTGTCCATAGGCGATTCGGGATTTATGATTTCGGTTTGTGTCTGCTCCACATCGCTGCAGCGCTCCTCCAGCACTGTGTCCAGCTCCACCGAGGTGAAGCCCTGGCTTAGGCTTCGTTCAGGACGTAAACTGATAGCTCGCGACGATCGGTAATCTAAAGCATTCGAAACAAATACGAAACGAAAAAAAAACAGAAGTAATTAAAATTAGTTAGAATTTCCTCAAATTGCCAGCGGCAAGCGAAATGGAAAATGTGAAATGTAAAATGTGAAATGAGCAAATGCTTGCATGTGGGCAAAAACGAAAACGTGCGACGACCAGATCGAGTTTAAGTTTAATGTGTATGTCAAAACGTGCAGAATACCCACACCACCCACACTGCCCATTACCAATCGCTGTCTCACAGGACGTGCGCACAGTGGGCTTAGTGAGCAGGTCAGCTTCACTACTTCTTACAGCAGCTCATGCTTTGTAACTTAAAAGTTATGTCAGCTAAATTACCCAAATCATTCTCTTGCAACGGTTAACTGTTAGGTGTTGTTGTGTGTCAGCTGCAGTTGAAAGTAAGGGCCATAAGTGCCCGTATGCTGCAGCTTAAAGTCAGGGAAATTTAATGGTTCATAGGCTGCAGTTTAAAATAAGGAATATTTAAAGTCAAGGAAATTTAATTTCCCAAGGCTGCAGCTTAAAATAGGGGAAATTGCTCAAAAGCTAGCTCTCTCTGCTTTTAATGACATATGTATGCATAGAACAACGCGTAATATGTTAATTAACAGCTTAAGCATTGACACTGTTAGGAATGATCCTTATGAGTTGTCTCAGCATTGGGGCACTGTAATTTGATTATTGCTGTTTAAACGCCATCCTATGTTAATTAACAGCGTAACGCGCTGCTAAGTGCACATCTATGCCCGTCAAACTGCAGCTTAAAGCTATGCAACATAAACGTGGCCAATTTAAATGTCTCAAAACATTACAAAAGCGCTATTTTGGCTGTTTTATTGCCTAATTTACATACGGCACACCACTGTGCACGGTCTGCTACTGGCTGCGTTTTGCGTAAAAGTTATTGTGGCGCTTATGCGGTGCTTGCGGTTATGCGTAATTGTTTTCAAAATTTATGCAAAAACGTAAATTTGCAACCATCAAAACATTTGCCTGGGACCTGGGCGGGCGGCGTGGGCGGGGCTAAACAAGTGTAATTTGCGGTTTGTCAACGTTTCGTTATCGTGTCACCTACATATATAATCACCATCATTATCAACATCATCATCATCATCATCATCATCCACAACAAGAACAGCTTCATCATCAGTCGCTGTAGTTGTTGTTGGACCTTCTCAAAGTGGCAGCAAACACCCGCAGCCAGCTGCCAGGCAAACACTGAATATGAAATTTACAGTTATAACAAGTTGGACTGCAATCAGCGAGTATGCCCGACTAGGAGAATACCCTGCTGCACGTGCATACATGACACTGATACACTGAAAGAAATTGCTCTGCGCTAAACCTCACTACAGTATGGCCTGGCTAAAGTGGAAATATGATTTCTAGATTTCTAGTACTTGACGTCCGTCCACGCTAGGCAGACTTTACAGTACATGACTTAATGAGCATTGCCAAGGCGATCTACTGGAACGCGCATACCACATGGCTGGCACGTGCACCTGCCACATGCACAGCCAGCAGATACCCTTTATTAGGTATATATTTAACAACAACAAAAATAAAAGAGGAAAAATGTCGTTGTGCACTGTGCAGGCGTGCGTGAAGGCGACTGGGATTCCTGACTAAGGAGCAGGAGGACCGGATCGGGGCCTGGCCAGGGGGCTGCTCTAGTGAAAAGACGAGTTTCCATTTTTGTTGTTCATATGCAAACGAGGACGAGCGCCCAAAGGTATGCAATGCAAATGCAAGCGGGTGGCAGGGGCAGTAAGGGGCACGGCTACAGCTTAACAGCTGTGCTTGACACATGCATAACAGCATAAATATCTCGTAGGGTGCGTGTGTGCGTGTGTGGCGGTCGCTTGCTCGCTTTCATTGAGTGCCGCCACAGTCGCAGCAGGCACTCAGCTTGAACTTTGACTCGGAGTTGTGCACACGTGCCACTCGTCCTGCTGCGTCGCGTCCCGTTTCGTTTCCTTTTGCCCATGTTTTTATATCCTATTTGTTGATGTAACACACTGGGTATAATGGACTGCTGCCTGCTGCCTGCTGCCTGCTCTCGCATGCAAGTGGGTCAAGTTTCGTTACAGCCGCTGCCACCTCCGCACCCCAAGGGCCTCACTAGTGGCAACAACCTTTATGTATTTGCCGTTAGTTTGGGCTTTTTCCTTATTTCCAGTTTTCATCTCTTTAATGAACACACGTCGCCGGTGATGCTTTGAAAAGCTTTGACTTCCGGCTTTTTCTGGTTTCTATTGAATTTTTGATTTTTCCGCTTTTTGTGCATTTGAAAACAAATGAGAATTTTCTAATATCTGAGCTCTGGCTTCAAAATTCCCAATGATGAATGAGAAGGGAAAAATTGTTTAGATTTCATTTGTTCTCACACTGTTTTGATACGTGCTAGGGAAATTCCCAAGAAATTGTACATGTGGGCTTTTTTTAAATATGGCACGAAAATACCCATGAAAACATTTCCCTTTGCTATGCATCGCCGACGCAGAGGCAGAGCCGTACAATAATTGAAACTTTTCAATTTAGATATATGAAAGAATTTTTGAAGATTTTTCTGGAATTTTCGCAGGAATTTTATTAACTTTTATATTTGTGCAATTTCGTATATCAGCGTAAAAAATATTTGAATATTCAAGTTTTAAGTGGAATGTGCCGCAAAGGTGGGAACACAATTTGCCGTGAGGAAGTGATGGGGTGAGGGGTGGGGTTGGTTGTTGAATAGCGACAGGCAGCCAGGTGTGTAAGTGTGTGCGTGTGTGTGTCCGCAAGTTTGCTTGCCAATTTTAAATGCAATTTATGCAAGAAAAACAAAGCGGGCAAATTGAAAATTGAAGCGGATTGAAGTTGGCTGCGATGAATCGCGCTCACTTTTCTCTACTTTCCTTTTGTTGCAACATGTTGAAGGTAAATAATAAACACTACGCTATGACAGACAGGCACATTAAGATCGATATATAAAGAAAATAAGAATGAGAGAGGGAGAGAGATCGAGTGAGAGTGAGGGAGACAGAGCGAGGGTGTGCTTGTGTGCTCTATGAGGTGTGAATGGGAGTCTAGAGAAATGCATTTATCATATAAGATATTCATATATATTATTTCGACAGATAATACGAGCTGTGAATAAAAATTGTATAAGTCCATATGGAAGAAGAAGAAGAAGTTGAAGAGAAACTATAAAATTTCGTACACACATTACAACATTCAAACTCACTAAGCCTATGAATTGGACTAAATCTGACCAGGCTGACAGCGTGGTCCTGCATATCATAGTTGCGCCGTCTGTCCCGCTCCCGGGCCAACTTGGCTCGACGTCGCAGGCAGCAGATCACAATCAGCGCCAATATCGGAAAGCCAAAGATGCACGAAACGATGGGTATGACAATCGATTCGGGTGAAACTGCAAGTAGACAAAGAACACTTGATCAATACTTGGTATACCCTGTAAATGGCGAAACTGTATGAGTAATTTCCCATTATATTAATAATAGATATGATAATATAATTACCTTAAAATGAAAAACGGAAAATGAAAGCGGGAGAGTGGAGGATAAAAGATGAAAGATGGAAGAGGGAAGATGAAAGAGGGAAGATTAAAGATGGAAGATAAAAGATAAAAGATAAAGATGAAAAATGTAAGATGAATTATGGAGGAGGGCCGAATAAAGATGAAAGATGCACAGGGAAGATGGAAGATGAAAGATGGAAGAAGGAAGATGAAAGAGGGAAGATTAAAGATGGAAGATTAAAGATGGAAGATAAAAGATAAAAGATGAAAGATGAAAAATGGAAGATGAAAGATGAAAAATGGAAGATGAATTACGGAGCAGGGCCGAATAAAGATGAAAGATGCACAGGGAAGATGGAAGATGAAAGATGGAAGAAGGAAGATGAAAGAGGGAAGATTAAAGATGGAAATTGGATGATGGAAGATGAAAAATATGATAAATAAAATATGGATTGAGAGTTTGAGATTGTGAGGGAATTATAAAAAAAGCAGACCTCATATGTAGAATAGAAGCTTAGAATAATTACAATAGCAGCACTTCGCACGGTTCAGGGTATCTGCAAGTCAGGCACTGCCAACTAGTGCAGTCTAACTTGCTTTTGTTATAGGTCAATGCTTAAGTGTATAATAAACGTCGCAGCTGGAAGTGGCTTATGAAAGTTGAAGTGTGCCTTCTCGAATACCCTGACAAAACTTGGACTGTTTGCTGGCAATGGCCCTGATACTGGGCTTCACTGACTTTGTTCTCTTTTATATATTATTACAATACTAAATGACGTTTGTGGGCGATTGGTTCCACTGAGTCTGCTCGAGCTGAGCAGAGAACTAGTAGAGCAATGGAGCTCCCTGGGAACTGAGGTTCTCAGCTCTGAACGTGACGAATAATAATTATTTTTTAGCTGAGCATAAAGCGAACCGAATCTAACTTGAGCTTTTCAGTTGAAATCTATGTGCTGGGCCTGGGCCTGGGCCTGGGCGTTTCCTTTATCAACCGCCCGTCGTGTTGGCCTTTGTGCATATTATAATGGTCTATTCAATAATTTTTAATGACCTGTGCAGTCAGTCGCCTGAATGCGGGCATCGCCTTTTTTTTCTGCTGCTGTTTTTTGTCTGCCTAATTGCTGCGGTCAAATACTAAAAGCCGCCGGTTTCCGTTGCCTGCCAGCGTAAACATAATCTCTAAATTATTAATGCATGACACACCCACTCACGCACGCACTTACGCACGCAGGGCAGCTGTCAGAAGCGCTGTAAAGTAGGCAACAGAATTGATCGCCTTTTTGTTTATCTGCTGCTCATCATTTGTAGGCCATCTTTTTGCCATGGAAGTGCCCCGATATGTGGGCAACACTTATTTACGCTGACAGGCGGCGCGCTGGGCGTGGCCAAGTTATGTGGGCCAAATGCCTTTTACGAGCCGTTGGCATCGTTTGCATTTGCCCTTCGCACGGCCCCACGGCCCCACGGCCCGCTGCCGTTTCTGGTCCATTTTCATTTTATATTTCCGTTTGGTTTTTTGCTTTTCTTTTTAAATTAATTTTCATCCGGTCGCGTGCAGATTTTAACCTGCTTTCAACTCTTTTTTTTTATCTCAATGATAAAGTGGCGGCTCTGCGGCTCAGTGGCTCAGTGGCGCAGCGAGTCACTGGCTGCCGGACAGGTCCGGCACCGTTGTCGATGCCATCACAATTCCACTTTCAATTTGTCTTTTGTTTATCTCCGCAGCCCAAACAAAGCCAACAAATTTGTTGCGATCCTCTCAGGGAAGCATTTTTATTAAGGTCCTTAGCCGATAAGCCACAGAAAACAATATATCTTCTAAGTATTCGCTATATAGGTTTGTATATCTGTGTGTTTGTGTGTGTGCCTTGTGTGTGTATTATGTATTTTTAGGCATTGAAATACTGCGATATGATTGTTCGAGTACACTGAGCCAAATTGGGGCTAAGTTTTTGTGAGAGTTACGGAAAGAGGGAAAAGGCAGGAGAAACTGAGAGAGAGGGAAAGAGATAGAGATGCAGAGTGAAAAGAGAAGATAGGCAGAGAGAGAGAGAAAGAGCGAGCAATTAATGGAGAGATAGAGAGAGAGAGAGAGAGAGAGAGAGAGAGATAGATAAATAGGGAAAGTGAGAGAGAGAAGTGAAGAGTGAGAGAAAGTGAAGGATAGAGAGAGAGAAAGAGAGACAGGCAGAAATAGAAAGGTAGAGCCAGAAACAGTACTGAAAGAGAGAGATACATACGGGGAGAGAGAGAGAGAGAGAGACGGAGAGAGAGCGCTACAAAGAGAGAGGCAGAGTAAAGCAAAGAGAGATAGGCAGACACAGAGAGATAGAGCCAGAAACAGTTACTGAGAAAGAGGGAGATACAGACCGAGAGAGACAGAGAGAGGGCGAGAGAGTTACAGAGAGATACAGACACAGAGAGTGAGAGAGAGAGAGAGAGAGCTGAGCATATTAAGATTTCTTTCATATGAAAGCAACTAATACGAAGCGTCTGCTCGTGTAGTTCTCTCAAGTCGCCAGCGATTTCGCTCAGTGCACGCTGACAGAGTGTTTGCTACTGTGGCTGCCGGCACGCCCACAATCCAGCTAAAATCATGCCAAGGCGGCAAAGCCAACACCACTTCCCCCTTCCCCCTTCCCCCCTCCACCGCAGCACCCACCCACCCAATCTAAGCCACAAAAATCCATGGCCCCAAAATGTTGTTGTGTCGTGTCCTAAATATAACTTGAAAGCGGCTGAAGGTGCGGGCAGGGCGCTGGGATTTGTCGAGGGGTGTTGGCTTAAAATGAATTTGGCAGCAGAGACAACGCCATGGCCAGCTGTTGATGCCGATGCCGATGCTGATGCTGCACTGGCTCCAACTGTTGACGCCGCGTGCCCTGCTTGACATTTATTGAATCCAATTAACGCCTTCAAAGTGACAGTTCAAATTTACACAAATTGATGGCCGAGTAGGGGCAGGGCCAGGCCCAGGGCCAGGGCTGGAAGACGCCTGCCAAGGGCTTGAGGCTGTTCACTTGGGGCTTGAGCAAAACTTGCCAAATAGAGAGACGCAAGGGTAGCAGCTGTGCCTCGACAAGCATTCGTTGCCGGAGCTGGATGCCTGAAGCACCGCCCCGCCCCAGCGCCCACCCGCAACTGTCTGTAATTTCTTGCTGACTCAATGGGCAGCAACGTTTGATGCTGGAAATATTCAATAAATACAATAAAAATTATGCGCCTCCACAGCCACCAAATCGAAATCGAATGTTTGCATATTTAAAGTCGACCGTGAAATGCGCCGCAACAACAACGGCGGCAGCAGCAGCAACAACAATTCAAATGTCTGATGAGCAGCAAAGCGAAAGAGAAATGTGACTTCGACTCGCTGCCTTTGTCTTAGAGATGAGCGCGTGCCACATGCGCCTCTGTGGCGCATGCGACGTGTTGCTGCTGTCTCTCTACTCTCTACTCTCTACTCTCTACTTTCTACTCTCTACGCGCGACGCGCGACGCGCGACGCGCGACGCGCTACTCTCTACTCTCTACTCTCTACTCTCTACTCTCTACTCTCTACTCTCTACTCTCTACTCTCTACTCTCTACTCTCTACTCTCTACTCTCTACTCTCTACTCTCTACTCTCTACTCTCTACTCTCTACTCTCTACTCTCTACTCTCTACTCTCTACTCTCTACTCTCTACTCTCTACTCTCTACTCTCTACTCTCTACTCTCTACTCTCTACTCTCTACTCTCTACTCTCTACTCTCTACTCTCTACTCTCTACTCTCTACTCTCTACTCTCTACTCTCTACTCTCTACTCTCTACTCTCTACTCTCTACTCTCTACTCTACTCTCTACTCTCTACTCTCTACTCTCTACTCTCTACTCTCTACTCTCTACTCTCTACTCTCTACTCTCTACTCTCTACTCTCTACAATCTACTCTCTACTCTCTACTCTCTACTCTCTACAATCTACTCTCTACTCTCTACTCTCTACTCTCTAATTTTCCCATTATCATCTATGCAATCGAAGCTCTCTTTTAGTTCGTGCTCGATGAGTCACGCTGTCAGCTCTGCGCGTAGCTCTGGCAAACAGTCGGCGGCGCTGGGTTAGACTGCGCCGGGTTCAAGTTGAAGGCCCGCTGCTTGGCTTGGTGAAGCTTTTAGAGCAGTTGCTGCTGAAAGTTGGGACAAGCGCTTCAGGCAAATGCTGCAAGTGAACTACTTAGTCGTACTCTCCCATTGCCGGGGGCGCACTGTACTTGGCATAGTTTGCCAAACAGAGACGCAAACGAAGACGAAGCGAAGGAACGCAAGTGCCGAGGCAAGCAAGAGTGTAAGCCACTTAGTGAAGAGTGTTGGAAAGTGCTTAAAGGAAAGTCAATCAACTGTCAACACTTGCTAATGGTGCGAATAACTGTTTGGAATGGGTGCGTGGCAGCCTCACGATTTCAGCGACAAATGCAACATATTTTTCTTGAAAAGAAAATAAAAGAAAAAAAAAACAACAACAGAAATAAATGAAGTCAGTCGGCGGCACAGCTGCTGCACAGCCTTCGTCAAGTGTGCAACACTTTACGGCAAGCGCAAAGCTCATTAAATTAATCTCGAGCAAGGGCTTTTAGCTTATAATTGATTACTGCACCTTGGCGCTGCCTTTGAAAACTTTCTAATCCCTAAAACGTGCTTTCAACTTTTCTCATTTAATGAAAAGATCCTTCGGGCAGCATCAGTCCCCCCTTAATCCAAATCATATGCAATGTGTTTTCGATTTGTTATTTTTTGAGCCAAGAGCTTGAAGACAAAACTTTGCTTCAAGAAATTTACATTTTGATTGACAATGTAAATAATATAAATAAGAATTCATACACGAATTGCTTGAAATCATATTGCAGGTCAGCAAAA